TTACAGGTCAAGCCATTCTAAGCTGGTAAAAAGAACTATCATTACCACAAGTTTTGGTTTAGCTCTGGAAAACTCCTGCCAACACATAATAAAAAGTAGTTTTGACAATCAAGAAAGAAAACTAGCACAAGCGGGGTATCCTAATTACGTCATCACGTCCGTGTGTAACAACATGATTAAGAAACTAAAAGTCGACGGGAATTGCTCGGGCTGTCGTGGTGAGAGTAGAAAAGGTAGGCGGGTAGCAGTTATGTTTGGGGCACGCGAAGGATGGCCAGTCGGTAGACGGCGCCAGAAGAAAAAGGAAAGTTAAAAGAGGCTGCCCAGACGCAGACTAAGCCGTTCTGCTCGGAACGCGTCTTTGTCGTCGAACCTCGTGAGCCTTTGTTCACTACGATAGTTATAGCGCGAGGACAAAAGGACGACACAGAGACAAGAAGGACACGAAGGACCTCCTTGGCTCCTTCTTGTCTCTGTGTCGTCGTTTTGTTCTCGCGCTATAACTATCGTCATGCCATACCAACTAGCCCAAGCTGCCACACTCCTTTGTTCACCGCACCTTGTGCTGGGGAGTCACCTGCACCTCTCACGGTGAGCCAGACTGAGAACTAAGTGGTCGCTGTCGCGACACGGCTCCCGACAAGATAACGTGGCGCCATGCTGTAACAATACGTGTGTATATACGGCAGAATCGTGTCTACTAACGCCAGACAGCCGACCGGCCGTATAGACTGGCTTGTTGTCGCACTAAAGTATCATTTAAGCTGTACGTCGTTGAAATGACTGAGTTCTTCTTAGCCGATGCGCGGAGGATAGCAAAGTGTGGGAACGCAGAGGCGGAGCCCCATCTCTGAGGAAAGGGAGTTGTTTGCTCCATTGGTGGGGCATCGAGTAGGGGTTCATCCCACGAGGCTATCTCAGATGAGACGGGAGGTATTTAATGAAGAGAAATGGAGAGAAGAGGAGCTGCAGGTGCTCGAGAACGAGATCGGGAAGCGAGGACAGAGGTCGTGCTTAGCGCAGACTCTGATCCAAGGTTGATACTACATCGAGAAGTTGGCGTCGATGTGTGGAGCATACGAAGGGCTCGGCAAGTAACGCCGACGTTGATATTAACACATGCCAGTGCTTACTGTGCGGTTGGTTTAGTGGCCACCCCGGCCTTTGTTTATAAATAGGTGTCAGTGTGTAAATAAACCGAAGTTTGCCAGGAAGTGAGCGAGCAGTCCAGTCCTTCAACGTGTCGTCGTGATCATCTGAACCATCAGGATTACATCCATCATCTCAATCTTAACTATAGCAGTGACTCCTTATCTTCATAGGACATCGCATGCGCTTAAGGCCCCGCCGTGGTGGTATAGCGGTTATAAGGTACTCGGCTGTTGACCCTCAGGTCGCGGGATCAAATCCCGGTTGCGGCGGCTGCATTTCCGATAGAGGCGGAAATGTTGTAGGCCCGTGTGCTCAGCTTTGGGTGCACGTTAAAGAACTGCAGGTGGTCAAAATTTCCGGAGCTCTCCACTACGGCATCTCTCATAATCATATAGTGGTTTGGTGACGTTAAACTCCACATATCATCAGCATGCGCTTAAGCAACACGGTAATAGTTACAAAGGCTATGTGTTCTTCTCAGCCAAAAATAAACTGCACTCCATTTGTTCGCGCATTCGCAGAGAGTTACCGTAATGTATGAAACACAGAAAAGGTTTGTGGACTGCGCAATGGGCGTTGTTTACACTACTCTTTAGCTGTGGCTAAAGTGTACATAGGACAGTCTCGGGACGGTGCATCAATGTTCGTCTTAGAGAGTACGATTCTTCTTTGAAATCCTCAGGGACACCGCATCTTGCGGTTCATTGCATAGAGCGCTGCTGCTATCCTGTTTCCCAGGATACTTAAGTGGTTTTTCCATCTAACAATAAATTCTTTCGTCAGTTGTTTACGGAAGCTTTTCACGTAAGAAAAAGGAGAAAAAAAATGCGTCAGCCAACCTTCGGTGTTTCTGCACGATAAGAAATTTGCTTTTGTAGGTTACGTTTCTGGTTATTCTTTGTTTGTTTTTTTTTCTTTACTCGGGGTTTTCGAGTTGCCACGCGTGTACTTTTAGCTTTCACACGCATACGTTGTTTTCGATTGCCTGCTTTTATATTCTTCCATTTTTAATAAATATTTTTAGTTGCGAGAAAGCGCTTGCCCCCTGTTCCTTCGTGTTTTTTCGTGCAGTTAAACGACAGTTCTACAGTGCATATCCAACAAGCCCAACTTAATATTCTGTTGGAATTACACTGGACAAAACATCACCCTATCCGTCACGAGGCGAGACGCCGACCTTGGAATTTGAAGGTTGTGGGCTCGAATATCACCGCCGACATATGTTTGTTCCGTACCTTCTCCTCCAAAGTGAAAAAAAGGGAAGGGGGCAACTGGGCAACTATGGATACGGCCGCGTGAGAGGGGGGACGGTGGGGGCACCGCGATCAACTGTGTGAGTGAAGAGGGAACAGGTGTTCCGTGAATAAAAAGAAAGGAAGCAGTGCGGAGGTAAGATGTACGCGTTTCGCTTAATCACGGTTCTCAGAAGCACCACTTCACAATGACAGGTTTCATTTTTTTACAATGGTAGATACATGGTAGGTATTACACACTGGCACCAAGAAAGTCAGTTCTAGCATTGAAGAAGACAAGTCCACTTGCCGAAGTGTCGGCTCGAACACACAACACCTGTTTACAATTTTTTTTTCATCGCAATCTTCCCCTTCCTACTGTTGCTTCGCATTCGCCTCCATAATTCAATCCTATATATTAAAATCCATTCCATTGATGGTTCTTTCTAAACAAAAGGCGTGGGCTTAGGGGCAGAGAGGGAGGGGGGGCACGTCTTCAATGCCTTACCCCATGGCGACGCCACACTCCCAAACTGCAATAACGTCAAGACACTTGAGCAGAAGCTCCCGAAGCAATTTTTCACCGTTCAGATGCAACTTCCAGCAACGAAATTACACGCTTTAGGTGTGTTCGATAGACTTGAGCGTACGCTTTGGAGCCTAAACAGCTAGGATCTTGCATTTCTTTAGTCAAATGCCTCATGTGACAAAGGACGGATATTGACATTCAGCCGTGATCTGTTGTTTCGTCGCAGGAGGAGAGATGCGAACCCGAAAAATCGTGCAACTGGCTTTCGCATTAACCTGGACCTGCCTGGTTTCCTCAGAGCAAGCGGATCTACACGAACGAAAAGGTAAGTTGAAAAAAATATCCAGCTTGACGTTCCAGCTAGAACGCGTATTCGAATTTTCGCTTATTGGTTCGCAATGAAAAACACTTATTTTGTCCAACGCGTGTTCCGGTGCATGAAATTCATAAAAGGCAATTCGCAAAAGCAACAAGGTCAGTGCTGAAGATAACAAAAACAAAGCGCTGTAGAATCGCATGAAGATACGTACATTCACGAGCAATACGCGGAGCAGCTTGCTCAGCCATGGCAAGTTTTGTTGCAAACATAAGGTGGCTAAAAAATTGGCTTTGGCTAAACTCGGTTATGCCTGGCTATACGCAGCGCAAAGTACGCATAATCGTATCATCCCGCTTAGTACTAAGAATGCTTATTACGCTTCTGGAGGCGTGCGGCCTCGCACTTCTATACTTCTTCCGTCGACTCGGCTCACGGCCCCCTCCTGGGTTCGTACCGACGACGAAACCTGGCTTACTTAAGCCTTTCCGACTCACTTCGCATATCTGCCGACGAATCACACCAAGCCCCCCCTTCTATATACACAACGCAACGCCGGCTCGTCCTCCGTTGTTACAAAGTTGTTTCTCTGGCTCCTCCTACGCCATCACGCCAGATGGCGCGGCGAGCGGCGATGCCAGCTGCGGTGGTGCCAGCTGTGGCCACCGGGCACGTTCGATGCGAGTTAAGAAAGGCAAAGTGGGCCCCCATGGCGTCGAACTCGAGTCCACTTGAGGGAGAGGGAGACCCCCATTCTGAGATTTTTATTTTACATGTTTATATCTACATACACATAAAAACACGAACATGAATATGAAGCACGATCACCCTTCCCCTCCCTCACCCCCCCGACGGTCTGATTCATCTCCCCTATATTCAGAAACAATGTTGAACCAATATGCATTCAACACTAGAATATGTGCAATTAACAAGGTCAGTTCAGTTCTTTTTCCAATGCCTATTTACAGACTGCTTTAACTTTATAAACTAGTTTAACAGTTGTAAGAGCCATTATAAACCATTATCCATCCATGCGTGATAATTAAAGCTGAAATTCCGCGCAAGCAGAAGATAAGGACACCACATTGCATTTTCTTGTGCAGTTCATGTGAACTATTTTTTGCTGATGACTACGCTGCGTGCATGCAGACGGTAGAGTCAAGTGATAGTTAAATTTACTGAGAAAATGTAACATGACCTACAGATATAAATGCTCGTAGAAAGGGAGGGGGTACACTGGGCTGTAGCCTTCCCCCACCACCAGAAAATTTTCTCGTGCGACCGCATGCCACCGAAACAAACAGGCGCATACGCCTATGACTAAAGGAGGGATGGGATATTTATCCTATAGAGTAAAAAACTTAAATCGATAATTACCGTTCACTAAGTACTAAACACTAATTAAGCCGCCTATCATAGAAGGAATGAAAACGCTGACGCGAATGTGAAACGAATTCGGTAAAACGACCTTTCGTTAAGGAATGCGCCGAAATGTTCATGCTTTGCACCGCACTTGCGGATTCATCTGCCCTAACATTAGGGAAGGTGTTGAACCAATAGGCCATCTTTACAAGCCCTATTTTCTGACTATTTTGACCACTTTACCAGTTGCATAAGTTAGTTCTGGACTGCTATCTATCCTTGGGTGATAATTAAAGCCGAAATCCTACACAAGCAGAAAACAAGGCAGCCATGCACGTTGCATTTTGCTAACCACTGTGTTGATATATGCTAGAGTGTTCCGTCTCTCTTTTTCTAGGAATGTATGATGCAAGACCATACAACGTGTGTTCGACGCCTGCCTGCATCCAACGAGGTACATACTTGTTTATTCCTGCGCAAGTATTAAAAATGTATATCAATTTGATTATATATCGTTTACGTCAGTGAATTTGATTATATATCGTTTACGTCAGCGAACGGTTTCTATATCAACGCCGTTAGGAGTATTGCACACGTGAAGCTACTTATACTGCTAGGAAAGGCTCTGCATTCGTAGTTTAAGATAGCGGTGTGTGTGACATCAGATAACTTGTCGTTGCGAGAAAACACGAAGCACAGCACTTGGATGTATCCAACTATCGACATTCGCGAGAAAAAAGACTCCTAACGATTGTCGACCATTGTACAACTTGTTTCCCTTTCTCAGATATTCGTTTGATGCTTGTTACTAGGGTGAATGGTCAAGGCGAGTAACGCAACTTTTGCGACTCGCGATTCATCTACATAGCACAATGGTTGTGTGCCACCGCGTAGAAATACCAGGATATGCGCAAACAACAAGGCGATTTTCTAACTAATTTGGCCAAATTTACTATTATATGCTATTTTTCTGTAGCAGCCAGTGAGTCCAATAACTTTACGCCACTGTGCGTCAGTGTGGGCAAGCAAACGGACACAACCAAAATTAACAATAACAGTAACAATAATGATATTATTATTATTATTATTATTATTATTATTATTATTATTATTATTATAGGTCTGGGGGTTTTACACCTCAAGAGTATGATATGGTTCTAAAGGACGCCGTAGTGAAGGGCTCTGTAAATTTGGTGTTTTTTGTGTCCTCTATGCACACGGTCATATACAGAGAACTTCGCCTCCACTGAAGTGTGGCCGCCGCGGCAGGCATTCGATCTCACTACCTCCAAATCGGCCCTCGAGCGCCTCAACCACTACTGACCATACCGGGAGCACCCCAAACTAATGTGGTCACGACTGGTTTTACGATATCCCACTCGCATTCGCCTCAACAGCCCACGTAACGCAAAGTGCGCGTAAGCGCGATTCACTCGCACATTCCCTGAATCTCTGATATCCCGCTCCCCGATATCCCACACGCCAATATCCCACACGCCAATATCCCACTCCGCAATATCCCACTCCGCAATATCCCACTCCGCAATATCCCACTCCGCAATATCCCACTCCGCAATATCCCACTCCGCAATATACCACTCCGCAATATCCCACTCCGCAATATCCCACTCCGCAATATCCCACTCCGCAATGTCCCACTCCGCAATGTCCCACTCCGCAATATCCCACTCCGCAATATCCCACTCCGCAATATCCCACTCCGCAATATCCCACTCCGCAATATCCCACTCCGCAATATCCCACTCCGCAATATCCCACTCCGCAATATCCCACTCCGCAATATCCCACTCCGCAATATCCCACTCCGCAATATCCCACTCCGCAATATCCCACTCCGCAATATCCCACTCCGCAATATCCCACACGCCGATATCCCACACCCCGATATCCCACACCCCGATATCCCACTCCGCAATATCCCACTCCGCAATATCCCACTCCGCAATATCCCACTCTGCAATATCCCACTCCGCAATATCCCCGCATTTCCTGCGGTGGTTATACTTAAGAGCGAAGCTCTTACAGTTGGAAGTAAAGCGTCGGTTCTCCGCAGAAACCCTCCGCGCCGTGGCTTATCACGCGCCCTCACTGATCAGCCTCACCCGTCGACGGAGACCGACCGTGCAGCGGCCGCGCCGAGGTGGGGCGACACGCGAGCCGAGCATGAGCAACGAAAAGCCCACGCATCTCCCGGGATTGCCACAGCCAGCTTCTGCATGTCAGTTCTGCGGTGGAGTTTTGACCTTCTTGCATGGTCTTTGGGAGGCTGTGGTTCAACTCTATAGCTTATCTATGCTAAGGAAAGACCTAGCATCAGCCAAGAAGGCCACGTCATGCCCCAAGACCAAACATCTTCGCCGTTTCTTAAGCTTTACGCGGCTAGTGTACACGTGTGCCTCTTTCAGTTAATATTCATACCGCAAACTAGAGGGCACACGTGACTTGCTGATGCACAACACTGAATAGAGTCGCCTATAGCGCTCAGAAAGTCCAGTCCGGTCGGTAAGTCCAGTCCGGTCGGTAAGTCCAGTCCGGTCGGTAAGTCCAGTCCGGTCGGTAAATCCAGTCCGGTCGGTAAGTCCAGTCCGGTAGGTAAGTCCAGTCCGGTAGGTAAGTCCAGTCCGGTAGGTAAGTCCAGTCCGGTAGGTAAGTCCAGTCCAGTAGGTAAGTCCAGTCCGGTAGGCAAGTCCAGTCCGGTAGGCAAGTCCAGTCCGGTAGGTAAGTCCAGTCCGATAGGCAAGTCAGACGAACTAACGTTCAAGCAGAGGTCATTTTCTTATTTGCTGCTTCGGCTGCACCACGCCGTACCAAACTTTGATAAAACCTGATAAAACCGCAACTTTTACAAAGAAATCCAAGCGGCGTTTCTTTATCATCTACTTATCCAGCACAGCTTATAAAGGACTCAATGAACACATCCGTTGATCCGTGCACCGACTTCTACGCTTACGCTTGCGGTGGCTGGATGGCAAAGCACAAGATACCAGAGAGCCAGTCGATGACGAGCAGTTTCTCCCTGCTGGACGATGAACTACGGGAAACGCTTCGAGGTAAAACATTTCGCTCATGTCCCATTCATGCAGTACCAATATCCGTGCAAACATCCAGTTGGTAGTAACGATATAGCAAGACTGGTAATAAGGTTGATGGCAAGATGTATATGCAGATCATTTTAACCGTTGGCTCACACCATCTCGGTGGCACTGTTCGAGAATCACGTCATTCAAAAAAATTAAAATGGAAAAGGGAAGCCTTGAATTACGCTTAATATCACTATTTCATGAAAATGATATTAAATACAAATAAAAATAAAAGGGAGATAATAGACCCTACGGAAGAAAAGGTTCTCTTGAGCTCTCATTTTGTGTGTCCCGGCTAGCCATGTATATGACTATTTGATGGGACCTGAGAACTCTCTTTGGAGTTCACAGTACTCTCATATAAAAGAATAAAAAGAACTTTGGCGAAGAATAAATTATCGCGTGCACATTATAGCTAGAATACCATGTTTTACGCGTGCAGTATGCGACTTCGCATGTGCATTCGGGGGTTGTGGTGTGTGACTTTTTGTGGTATTTCATATGTTGTTACGTATATAATACGAAGCTACGCGTGCGCATGCAATGTATGTGGTTTCGGCATAGATATTGCAATGCTGTGAGAAGAATAAAGCAGTTGTTAGTTTGGCACAAGTGTGTTTCTTTTCTCACCTCTTCTTTTTTTCGATTTCCGTATTGTTTTCGCTAAAGAAGTTATCTTCTGATCTTGCTACGTGCTAACTAAACCAAAACAAGTTTTACTCAAAACTTGATCTCCTAAAAGAGTGGTGAGACGCAAAACAAAGATAGCGTGTTTATTTAAAGAGAATCGTATACCTGACAGTTGTCGGGGCTCACGAGTAACGCTTTTTTAAAAGCGTAGATGGTTTGTTTGGAATAATAAATAACTTTGGAAAGTCATAAGAATCACAAAGTGTGAGAAATTACTTTGTGAAGAAAATATAAAGGTTTGGTTCCGTATCTGGAGTTCAAACCTAATGCACTCTAGTTTAAAAAGACACCAAATAGAAAAAAAAAGTTTTATCGCATTTGTAAATTACGCTTTCACTATATTCAAATCGCTCCACCTTATACGCGAACACGACCGGAAAGCGAGAAGACTCGTAAAATGATTGATATGTGGAGTCTAACGTCCCAAAACAACCATATTATTATGAGGGACGCCGTTGTGGAGCGCTCCAGAAATTTTATTACCTGGGGTTTATTAAAGCGCACACCCACATCTGAGCACACGGGCCTACAACATTTTCGCCCCTGTCAAAAATGCAGCCGCTGCAGCCGGGATTCGATCCTGCGACCTGCGGGTCATCAGCCGAGTACCTTAGCCACTAAACCACCACGGTGGGGCAGAAGACTCGCAAAAATAAAATGCGAATGTGTGACGCTGCCTTGAACTTCCTCCGCCCATCACTGACGTCACCAATTTCAACGACGTCTACTACAATCTGATCAGCTCTCACCTACTATAAAATGAAATACCATGTCCTATGAGGATGTCAAGGCATGCAAGTACCAAGTTTCGCAAACTTTCGTTGAGTTAAATGTCACCTAAATACGAATGGTACGTTCTGAAATCCATCATGTCAGGCGCGGAGGTTTCCGCGGAAATTTGAAACAGAAACTTTGACCTTAAATTTCTCTTAATATGTATTAAAGTTATGACGACTAAGTTAACGAGACGGGTTTTCGGAGTACACATTATCGACAACATTAGGGTTCTTGGAGTAAGTCATATCGACATAAACCAACCCTTCGTTGCACATTGTCCTCCCCTTTAAATTATTTCAATTGTACAATTAAAAACTGCAGCTCATGATTACTGAATCGGGCAAGGAAAGCAGATTTGTAGGTCTGAAAATTAATATGCAGAAAGATTAAGCAATGTGGAACAGTCTCATAAGAGAACAGCGCTTTGCGACAGGAAGCGAATCACAGAAATTCGTAAAGGACTTGCCTAAGACAGGTAGTTTCCGTGGAGCCGGAGGGTCGCACTGAATTAGTACTAGAATATGAAAGGGACACTAAAGTCAACTATTAAGTCGACGTTAATTATTGAAATGGCGGTCCAGAAACCTCGTAGAGTTACATTTGGGCCAAGGAAGGGCATATTTTGAAATAAAATCACGTTTTAGTGGTCCGCATCGGGTTTGCGCGATTCAAATTACCCGCCTCACGAAAGGCCGACCGGTCCGTTTCACGTCACTGTTGCCGTGCACAACGTTACCCGGTTTTACTGCGCTAGTAGCAGTTACCGAAATCTGTGGGAGCCACAGCAGCAAAAACAGCCATTGACCAATTTCCTTCCATTGGCTCCGAGATTGCAGATGCTTTTGTTTCAACTGCGCCTCGCTAGATGGCGCCAGCTGTCCAGTGTAACCACGCAAAAATTGAATTTTTGAACCACTCGCGCCGTTCCCCATAGTAACGTCCAGTGGTTCTTTTTTCCATGAATCAAACAGAAACGAACAAGCAGAATTTTATTGCGTCTCTTCATGCACGGATAGTTCTTTATTTAGTGCAGTTAGATCTATTACTAGTGATTAGTTGTAGGCGGTTCATCTGATGTCATCGGGATCATTCTGAAAATGTCATACTGCGGCGCTTGTGTTCTTGTGCATTTACCTTAATTTCTCGGTAAGGAGGGCACTGTTGATAATATTGTCATTTTAGGTGTTGTCATACATTGAACTTTCACTCTGATGTAAATTGTTATTTGACTTTAGAGTCCCTTTAAGAATAGAACAGGGCACATTCAGAGGGCGCTTTCAAATGGCTAATGGTAGTGACAAGCTATCCCTCGAGAGGGAAGTATGTTCTCTGCTGTATATTAGCGGTGCTTACCTACGAAACACAAACATGGAGGCTCACAAAGAGGGCACAAACTAGACAAAGGACGACGCAGCGAGCATCGAAAAGGAAAATTAAAGGTGTAACCTTAAGGAACGAGAAGAGAGCAGAGCGGGTTAAGGAATAAACTGGCTTTCGTCGTAGTTAGGAAGAAATGGGCGTGGGCCGGGCACGTAACACGTGTAAGTAAAGTAACTGTTGCTCATTGAGAGCAACACACTGGATTACAAGAAAAGGCAAACGCGCGAAGGGCAGACAGAAAGTTAGGTGAGCAGATGAGATTCAGAAGCTTGCTGGTGTAACCCAGCTGGCCGCAAGAAGCACAGGAGCGACAGAACATGGCATAAGTCGATGCCGGTCGTAGTCGGGCTGATGATAATGATGATGAAATTATATGTAATCGCAGAGGTTCTGTTCATTGTGCCCGATAGCCCGATAGTCAATGAACCCAGGTGTAGTAACTTTGTAGGAGTCGAGTCTACTTCAATCATGCAGGCTCACTTTAGAATTTACTCGAGCTTTACATGCAGAGCTGTGTTTCTATGGGTGTTTTTTTTTTTTTTTGATGCAGCGGATTTTCGACGAGAAATAACCGACTTCGTTACCATGTAGCCAAGTTTACATGTCATGCATGGTCAAAAAATTGCTGATGGTTTTAGGTTCTAACTTCACCGCTGCATGTTTCTTTCGTCAATCGCGAACAGCATTCTGGTTGCTTCAGTGGCTGCCCTCCGGACAAAGTTCATAAACGTTGAGAAATAAGTACTCTCCTTTCAGGCATACTAGGAAACATGTCCATCGTTCGGGAACATCAAAACGTGACAGACAAGGCTGCTATCGTCTACAACGCTTGCTTGGGTAAGTGATCTGTTCTGTTCTGCCTTCTTATTGATTGATATGTGGGGTTTAACGTCCCAAAACCAACATATGATTATGAGAGACGCCGTAGTGGAGGGGCTCCGGAAATTTCGACCACCTGGGGTTCCTTAACGTGCACCCAAATCTGAGCACACGGACCTACAACATTTCCGCCTCCATCGGAAATACAGTCGCCGCAGCCGAGATTCAATCCCACGACCTGCGGGTCAGCCGCCGAGTACCTTAGCCACTAGACCATCGCGGTGGGGCTCTGCTTTGTTGTAACTTCACTGCCGTGGTGCAAAGGTTATGGCGCTCTGTGACGTAATGTCCGTTGGTTCGATCCCGGTCGTGGTGGTCGTTTTTCGATGGAGGCGAACTGGTAGAGGCCAACAAGAGTTGCAATGCGGGCAGCGCGCAATGTAAAGACCCGTGTACTGTGCAACGTCAGTACACGTTATGGCGCCACCTGGTTGTCATCATTTCCGGAGGCCTCCATTACGGAGTGCTCACAACCATATGGTATAGTTTTCTCGCATAAAATTCCACAATTTCGTCGACTAATTTCATTATAGAGGGAGAGACTTGTGTTTAAAGCACCTAGACTACTCCATCTGTCTATACACAGCAGCAAGAAAAGCGTGGTTACTCTCAGATGAATAAAAAGGGCGATAAAAAAGCAAATAGCAAATTAAATGAATAAAGAGAGTAACACAGCACTGGACAGTGCATCGGTGTGAGTTCACTTATGCGCTAGACCAAAGGCGAGCGCGGGATTATCGATCTGAGCAGCCATGTTCCAATCTGGTCACCCCGCTATAAGCCCCCCCCCCCCTCCTTTACCCGGAACGACGCTGAGAATGACGTAACTGAAAGCACAGCCAATGGAGACCACTCGTGGCACCAATGCCGAATGGTTTTTTCGTTTCTTCTAGCCATATACAGCTGTCGCTGTAAAAAAAAGCAATCTGCAACTAATCCACTAGGTAATCTTAATCACCCAGTTTCTAAAAACCCTAACTCATCCTTGACAAGTGATGGCATGTTGACATCCCTTATTGGTTGCCTTTTTTTTCTTTGGCTTTATTTCTTTGCTTTACTCACTGGCCCTGAGCATGTATTGATAGCGAGTATCGTCAGCAGAATAAAACAGTTGGCAATCAGTGCTCTTTACACGCGTTGTTATGCCTGCCCAAATACAACATACTTGACATGCTTAATGCAGCATGCAAAAAATTTAAATCAGGTGTTAACGTATTTTTCAATCTGGCCTGCCTTTTGTAAACTCTTGAAACCACTCTTGAAATGAAACATCAGTTTTTTTGTTTGTTTTTTTTCAACACCTATTACCGTCAAATACATGCGTGACCCTAACCATGCTTTTTTAAGCAGTCGCGGAATAGGTCCAACTAAGCTAAAAGTATGCAGCAGATTTGGCGCCCCTGACTCGTCTCTGCAATTTCGAAGAAGACAAGTCCGCTTTTCGAAACATTAGCTTCAGCCCAACAACCCATGTTCACATTTTTTTTTTCTCATTGTTTCAACGTAGTGCCAATGATGCATGTTGCGCAGGCATATTCCGTATCGAAAAGCGCAAGTTAGCCAGGGCTACAGACGTACTGATTTGTCAGCCTAGCATTGTTTTTTTTTTACTTCATTTAGAAACGAATTGCTTCGCAGTCTTGGTAGGACCGGTGACTAGGGTGCTCGGCTGCTGATCCGAAGGTCACGGGTGCGATACCGGCTGCGGCGGACGCATATCGATGGGGTAAAACGATATATAGAGGCCCCGGTACGGGACGATGTCATCGAACGTTAAAGAACACCATATGGTCGAGATTGATCCGGAACCGTCCATTAACACCGTCCCACATAATCATATCGTGGTTTCGGGACATTTTTTTCCTTTGTTTTTATTCCAGCCGTTCCTGATCTCGAAGACCGACCTGACGTCATGTTGGCGATAATGAACGCTTCGGGGCTCGCCCAGTGGCCGATAACTGGTCCGCGCAGAGAGAAGAATTCCATCGGTACAACCACCGAGGACGTCCTTAAACAGACCGGAATCGCTACACTGTTTGCACTCGGCGTTTCTAGGGATTTACGGAAACTCAGTTCTTACGCCATTCAGGTAAAGATCTATCTACTGAGAAGCAAAAAAAATAACACGTTGCAGTTATCTATCAAGTTTCAGCGAAAGAAGCCTTTATTAAACCGTAAAGAATCATTCAAACACCATGCTCTTTTTATTTTAGCGTGTTCTTTTTCCCTCGACAGCTTAAACATGAAAAGAGCGTATTGTATACTGCCTGCTCAATCTCACGTCTTTTCTTTTGCTGTATTCTTATTACACTCTTTTATTGGATTATCTGTTTTGGTCTGTGTGTCATTTTCCTACGCTTTGTTTGGCAAGAGTGCATCCTTGATGAGGTTTGCCCTTGTTCACTGTTACTTTCATGTATTTATTTAGTTCATTTTCATAATCACATATTAGTCTCTCATAATCATATGTTAGTTCTTTATCCAGTTCTCATAATCACGTCTTAGTTATTCTGCTGTCCGAAACACAAAATAAAAACGCATGTGAGCGCTTTTATTGAGGCTCCCATTGAGCTTTAGCAACCAAATTCACCACACGCTTAACTTCAGGATTGAATTGCATAGGTATCAGTGAGAAATTTATTTAGTCGACATAATATCCATTCCATATTACATTCCCAATCAATAGGCGCCGTCGATTCTTTCCTTCCTTACAGCTCGATCAGCCAGATTTCTCAGCGGTGGGCCGAAACGAGATCATCAATCAAACTACAGACTACAGCAAGCCTATCATCGATGCCTACAAAAATGTGATCATCGTCGCAATGAAGATCATCAAGCCGAACCTTCTCGAAGACGAACTACATAAGCTCGCCAACAGGCTTTTAGCCTTTGAAGGAAAGCTAGCCAATGTAAGCATGACTTCTGCACAATGACATCGTAGATTTTCATGAATTTCATAAAAGGAGCCAACCACTGTTGAGATATCTGTTGGTGACTGGGCGCATTTGGTTACCTATTTAACCGCGCGTATCAAAGTAGCATTTGAGCCGTTACTTCAACAACATCCATGCCTGCCTTTTTCCTTCGTATCAAGTTCCACGGCTCGAACTAGTGTTCTTTCTGACATGGCCGTTTTGTGTAATCAGATCTCTTGTAGCAATTTCCGTCTTGTATTGTAGAATACTTAGTGAATGTTTATAATGCTTGTATATTTATTCTGTATATTCTTTGTATATTCTAATGTTGATAGTGTACAGGGATGTGTTTCAATCATCGTATGTAAATTAGTTTTTTTCTTTTTTTCTTAAAGCTGCAGAAATACTTTTCTTTGGATACCTTCAGCCATGTTTTCTTGTGCAGATCGTTTTTTTTGTTGTTGTTGTTGTTGTTTCTGTACATGAACCTGCATCGTACTAATAATTTTGCCCCTCTACTGTCTGTTGCCGAAAAATGGGGGGGAGGGGGGCGCTACACAGACTTCGTTAGGCCGTTATGTGGTTCTTTTTCTGTGTTTCCGTTATCTAGAGCATGCATTGATGCGGAGTTCAATCATTGCTTCTTCAATTAGTTACGGTAACGTATCTACTTCACTGATGGGTCCCATGTTCTTCTTGGACGCGTGTTTATGCAGTCTGATAAGGAGACGGTCAGCAGCGACCATTTCCTTATCGGCATGTTTTTTGTTTGTTTCCAGCACAATAAAGCAGTTATGCTTCTTCATGCAGTCTATGTATCACTCAGCTTTTTTTTTTTCAGCTGACGGCACCCCCTGAAGAGAGGCGAGACGCGTTGCGTATTTATCGTAGGACTACTATCGACGAACTGAAGAGAAATTTTACTAACGTAAGTTTCGTAAGTTACACTGCTTATAAATTCCCTCTTCGAACAAACATTAGAAGAGACCTCATTCCCTCGCATGCTATTCGGCAAATGTGTTGCGATAATTTTGCGTATATTGATATGTGGGGTTTAACGTCCCAAAACCACCATTTGATTATGAGAGACGCCGTAGTGGAGGGCTCCGGAAATTTTGACCACCTGGGGTTCTTTAACGTGCACCCAAATCTGAGCACACGGGCCTACAACATTTCCGCCTCCATCGGAAATGCAGCCACCACAGCCGGGATTCGAACCCGCGAACTGCGGGTCAGCAGCCGAGTACCTTAGCCACTAGACCACGGTGGCGGGGCTAATTTTGCGTATACCTTGCTACAACAACTTCAAATAAAAAAAAACAACTGGAGTCTACATACCAAAGAAAAATTACATTCACAAGCGACTACGTCGCTGCGGCTTCTGAATTATGCAGTCTTGAGAACCTGGCCTTCTTTAAGGTGCAGTTCGCCTGGGTGAAACAGCGGCGACGGTGCTCGCTGCTGACGCGAAGGTCGCAGGTTCGATCCCCGCGGTGGCGGCCGCACTTCGTAGGAGTCGAAACTGTTGAGGCCCTGTGCAAAGTCGGTGCGCGTTAAAGAACACTAGGCGGTTGAAATTTCCGGAGCCGCTCGGGCATTTTGCAACCGAGCGGAGAATCCCTCTCGATCGTTGCGACCGTACCCGATTCTATACCTAGGGAGATTCTCGCTCACCAGCGACGCTTCAGGCGGCAAAAAATGTGAAAAGCCCCAGAGATCCATCAGTGGGGAGAGGCCGCCGACCTTCGAAAAATTCAGACGGGCGTATTTTTACATCTGCCTAAGTTCACACGCGATCCATCCGACGCTGTAGCAGGCCGTGTGTCCGTGGTGCGGCGGTGCACGTCAACATCTCTACCATACATCGTGGGGGTGCGATCGTACGCCAAGCGACTTAGCCGATCTTCTCGGCAAATCTTTGAACACCTAGTACGAAGGAAGGTATAGGGACTATGGAGTAAGCTCCCTAGATAAAACAAGTTTATCTATAGGTACCTTAGTATGGAGCAGTGGGAGGCACGACTCGCCAGCTAGGTCTTGGGAGTGCTGCTCGCGCTTCATGATTTACCCCCGTATTCACAAACGCTCCTCCACTCGACAGAGTTGAGCACTGCGCCACCACTCGGCTCAAAATGACGCTGCGCTACTCAAGAATCGCAGCAGACTATCGCTGATATGCAGTGACTTGCCGTGCCTAGAGATGGCGCTCCCATCGGCTTTCTCAAGTGAAGGTGAAGCGTTGAGTGAAGGGAAGTTCTAGAATACGGGGGTAAGTCTGGCGGGCAGTCAAGGCCAGTGGAGCCCTCGACATATGGCCCCAACCATAAAAGATATGAAATCCCCTTTCCCTTTTTGCTATAAAGTTTCACTCTCACCTTCTCTACTACGGGGTTTCATGATTATACCGCGATTTTGGGACGTAAAACCCGAGATGCAATTATTATTATTCTTTAACGTGCACCTAATTTAGGTACACGAGCGCTTTATTCCCTTTATTTTTATTTCATCTCATTTCAGCCACTGCGACTCCTTACTAGCTAAGCTATCACGGCGTATAGCTTTAATGACTTCTGTCGCTAATATATGACACAGAAATGTTCCTACATGCAATGTCGCTCTAAAAGAGCGAACACTTTGATAAGAATGTCCTGAGTACAAGGTGTAACTTTTATTTTGTTTTTTTTTGTTATTATAGTCTAGTTTGACTCATTATGCAATGTACTCATATGTGCTCCTTTAGACCCACTCCCTCTAACGGCCTCTGAAAGGATGATAGTACTTGACCAATCAATCAATTAAACTTATTCACTACAACGGCGTTCTCTTTCTCCTCGTGTTTTACAGATTCCCATCGGCGATTTGTTGCAAAAGAAGTTTCGTCTCGCAGATATTACCTTAGCGCTAAATGAGACTGTCGAGCTTTTCGCTCTGGAATACTACCGCAAACTGAACACGTTTCTCAGCACCATCCATGCGTAAGTGAACAGTGAACATGACAACTTTATACACTGTGCTCAAAGGCGGCGAAATAACTCCCGAGTCAAATCACTCGGACTCTCTCAGATTCAAATCATGCCGCGAGTTTGAGTATGACTTCGGCTGAGTAATATTTTCGCGAGTTTGGTCTTAGTTGGGCTGAGTAATATTACCGCGAATTTGAGTTTTATAGTTAGGCTGAGTAATATTTTCGCGAATTTGAGTCTTAGTTAGGCTGAGTAATATTTTCGCGAATTTGAGTCTTAGTTAGGCTGAGTAATATTTTCGCGAATTTGAGTCTTAGTTAGGCTGAGTAATATTTTCGCGAACTTGAGTCTTAGTTCGGCTGATATTTTCACGAGTTTGAGTCTTAGTTCGGCTGATATTTTCGCGAGTTTGAGTCTGAGTTTAGCTGAGTAATATTTTCGCGAGTTTGAGTCCTAATGATTACGGTTGAAAAAAAATATTTTGTGAGCTTGATGTGGCTAAAAAAAGTTCCGAGCGAGTTAAAGTGAGACTGGAGCGCAAAATATATTTTATGAGCAAGTCGGGGTGAGCTCCACAATCTTTGCCAAACTGTGGCTGTGCTCGTGAAAAAATCGCTTGGAACCAGTTAAATATAAAATTTCTTCAGTCTGAAGGTTCCCACTGTTAATCCGAGAAGGTTTACCAGGCAAAGTGCCAATGGGGAGAGAACAATTTACGAGGCTGAAAATTTCTGATACCGAAAAAGAAAGAGCTGTGTAATCAATGTACAATCATGGGCAATATCAGCTCGAACACGCGAGCACGTGGCAAATAGCCTCAAAACCGAGATAACGTGATAGGTGCATGGCGCTGCCGAAACCGGAGGGGAAAGGAGGGGCGCTGTCCCACTCTTTGTAGGCACTCTCCCTGCACTAGCGCAGCAGGCAAACGGCTGATGATCGCGCGCGCAAAAAAAGAGGGTTAAATACGGGTACCAAATGCGCAGCCAAAACTCCCTACATATATTACAAGCACGGCACCACGACAGCCTACGTCGCAGCCGATATTTCAGCAGCTACATAGCCTAGTGGGTCTTTTGGTGTGGCTGTGCACATTGTGCGAGTTCATATCACCACTGGCAGCCACTAACGCGCTATACTTCGCCGTTTTGCAGCAACGATACCGAGGCGGGAGTGTCAACAGATGCCAGAAGCGCGCCGCCCTTTCCAATTTGCTCCCGAGAACAGCCGCTGCGAATCAGCCGATGTAGGGCGCGAGGCTATTCGCCACGCGCCCGCCTGTTCGAACTCGTATTAAGGCTGGTGCACACCGGCGACTAGCAGCGGTCGCGCGACCATTTGCGACTGGCGACCAAAAAGCGACTGATGTTCACACCGGCAGAGGCTGCATGCGAGCGACCGGAAGTCGCAATAGCGGAGAGTCACGTCCGGATCTCGTTATCAGCGACAACTCTGGAGACCAGCGCCGATCAGCTGATCGCTGCCAGCTGAGTGAGTGGAGCGAACCGAGCGCACCAGATTTCTTGTTTTCATCAGTTCTCGCCAGCGCAATAAAAAAAACAACAAAAAATGAGCATCGCTGATTGGTTCCAGCAGCTTTGCGACCGCAGTCGCGCGACTGAAAAATCGGTCAGGAAGCGACCAGCCAAAGCAGTCGCTTTGCGACCCTTTGCGACCAGTCGCAAATGGTGGCGCGACCTTTCCTAGTCGCTGGTGTGCACCAGCCTTTACTCCCGATAGTACTTCTATCATTCCAGACAAAAAGTTCAGAGGAGAATGAAGGTTTGAATTCATTAACTAAGAGTTGAACAGAAAAGGTGCCAAAGCCAACGTTTTGACAAACCCTCTGCTTCAACAAGCCCTAGTGCCATTCATTGCATAGCGCGCTAAAACTTGAGCACAATTAATAGGGATTTCTCGTCATCTTACTACGACTATTTCGGTCTTTTCCCACAGAAGTCGTTTCGCTGCCTTTGGTCTGTTGCACAGTTAAGCCAGAAGCAATTATGCAAAGTAATACTGAAGCTAGTCCGAAGTTTAAGAACATTGATGCCACACTGAACTGGGTCACTCTTTTGTCAAGCACAAAATGAAATGCAAGAGTGACCGAGTACGCCGCTATCTGACACGAAAATTCAAAGCCAACAAATCACCTATGGCCAAATAACGAAGCTTTTGGGGGTCTCAAAATGAGGCGCGCCCTTCTCGGAACACACGTACACATCAGACGCGGTCGAACCAAAAAATCGTGCAAATTCATTCAACTACTTTTACACCGACGATATCGCCAGCCCAATCAAATACATCACTCGTGACACGCTAAAAATAACCTTACGCGGCATGCCGATTCACTCAGTCAACGTAATAAGGGTGACAGCAGCTACTGTCAGAGGAGTCGTCGCCAGGATGCTGCTGCCCGAAATTTCAGCGTTGGCGTGGCCCTTCCCGAAGGTGTCGCCCCTTTTTTTCTGGATGAGCCCCTGCTGAGTGCGGAGCTGCCTCTGTAGTGGTTCCAACTGTTGTTGTAGGGTTTCGTGTTCGTTCATGGCGGCACGTTACCTGTCCATCTTCCGGGTCACCAGATCCGTAGGAACGTCGAGTCTGCGGACAGGCGAGTTCTAACATTAAAAACATATTCGCTTAGTAGCTGCAGTGGGCGAGCATACCGACGCTACGCTCGCCTCTTTCTCTCTATATACATTTACTTCTATCCTTTTAATCCCTCCTCACCCCCATCCCTTGTGAGCTACTGTTGAGGTGTCGCACGCTGATGCAGACAGTTGCGGGGCTCACTTTTCTCTTCCTTTCTCTCTTAGAACCACTTTGTGTCTGGGTAGCGAAGACTCTTGCAATCTCGGCGGCCTGTTTCAGTAGTCACCCCCAACGACGCGCATATCTGTGGCGATGCTGCGGTGGCGCTGTAGTTTATCGGGAGGCGACGCAACGTGCAGCCGTGTTCACGCCGAGTTGAAAGGTAGTGCACGGCGTTGGTTTGTGAGTGGTATAGCGCGAGATGAAAGATAGTGGGGCGGAGGCTGCGCAGGAATATGCGCAGAATTGAAAGCACGGCGGTCCCCACAGAAGTCGCCGGCCGTAGGTTATCTTCGGAACAAGGTGACGTGGTGAGGCCCATGAAGCATCGGAGCGGCTGCTTCGTAGTGCACGAATTCGAACTAGGCTTTAGCTATGGGTTTGCGGTCTGGCGCCAGGGGCGGCTGAAAACTGGGGGTGGAAAAAACTCCCACGTATTCGCTCTCAGCCGCGACAACGCTACCTTTACCGCTGGCGGTTGCCTGCATCTTAATAGAAATAAATCACGAACAGAAAATTTGTTTCATGACATCACTGGTGCCATGCCGAAATAGAGGGAAAGGAAGAAAGACTGAGAGGAGGAGGGTTGCCGCGGAAGCCCTTCTTTCCTACTGTGTAGTGTTGGGGCGCAGCGAAGACGGCCTGTACGGTGGGCTATGGCTGCGGCAACGATACCTGGACGATGCGATCAGCGCTTTTGGCAAGTTAATCGAGAGGTAGCGTAAGCATGTGCCTGCAGGATCGCCTCGACGCACGATGGATGTTGTCAGAGCCAAAGTGATCACAGGAAAGAATCCTGTGAATCCATGTTGCTAGCGAGAGCACCCATGTGATTAAGCAACTGCGATAGATTGCGCCAAATGCACCTTCTAGTCACACCTTGTAGTCATCCGAGAATGACAAGCGGCATATAAGTTTGGGCTTGAGGTGTTCGTAAGGGTTGGCGAGAATATCTCGGACCTCGTTGGCGTAGCTAGCGGGCGTCCAGGATGGCGATGAAATAGACTTAGCGAGTTCGGCCTTGTGTGATGGTACCAGGAAGAATGGAGCCTCGACTAGAGCGAACCATACTTCGGCTGTGTCCACCCAGAGTGTCAGAAGCTCGACCGCGACATGCCCGATGCCATGTGGGGCAACGTACGGGATATCGCTAACACGGGTTCTGGCCTATTCAGTGGAGCCTGTGAACAGTCGGGGTGGACAAGTCGTCACCAGGATGCTGCTGCAAGAAATTTCTGTCGTTCTTTAAACTGCAGCCCTTGTTTCTGTATGAGCGCCCACTGGGTGCGGAGCTGCCTCTGCAATACAGTCCCACCTGTTGCCGTAGGGCCTCTTGCTCGTCTATGGCAGTGCATTACAGTCCATCTTCCGGGTCACCAAACGTGTGAACCTTGAGTCGACGGAACGATGAATTCCAACGTGAAAACATAACGACTGCTTATTCGCTTAGTAGCAGCAGTGGGCGAGCATATTGACGCTGCTGCTATAAAGCATAACCTTGCAATCTTGGCAGCCTGTTCTGGTAGCCACACCTACTACCGTGGACGAGCGGCTAATGCACTCGGCTGCTGAACCACAGGTCACGGGATCGAATCCCGGCCGCAGCGGCTGCATTTTCTAGGGGGACGAAGATGCTGGAGGCCGGCGTGCTAAGATTTAGATGCACGTTAAAGAACCCCGATTGGCCGAGAGTTTTCTCGAAGCTCTCTACTACGGCGTCTCTGATAATCATATGGTTGTTTTGAGACGTTCAACCCGGCAATTGTATATTACGTATTATGTTGTGATAGCCACCGCTGGCGACGCATATCTACGGTGACATGTGGTTACGCTGTAGTTTATCGGAGGGCGACGCAGCGAGTACATATGTCACGCCTAGCTGAAAGATAGTGAGGCGGCAGATGTACAGCAGTATGCGCACAGTGTGTCGCCACGAGTGTCTCACCTTACGCAATCTAGAGGACAAAGGTTGTCTTAATAAATCATTGTATACTGAACCGTCGGCATTGACACTTCGTTAGAACATAGTACAACAATTTAAGTTTCAAAAATTGTTTTTTCAGCTTTTGATCAAACAAGTTGTTTTTTTTTTCCACGTCGTACTTAAATACTTCACGTGATTCATGTTCCAGCAACACTTTGTTCAACTACGCTGGCCTGCGTCGCATGCTCCAGTGGGCAGAGGCCGTATCGAAAGACTTTCGAAAGGCCTCCTTCGAGCTTCGCGCAGTGAAAGAAGGCTTGCATGTTCAGAGACCCAGGTGGCAAGTGTGCGTCGACGAGGTGAACGACGACATGCCAGAGATTGTAGGCAAGCTGTACGTGCAGAGCAAGTTCAGCCCAGAAGCCAAGCACGAGGTAAGAACCGGGCGCAACTGTACCATCTACAGTGCGCCATTTCCTTCTTGTCATTGCTTATGCTGCAATGCTGCTCTTGTAACTTTATATTTTAATATATTTATTTATTTATTATTTATTTATTTATTTATTTATTCAATTATTTATTTATTTATTTATTTATTTATTTATTTATTTATTTATTTATTTATTTATTTATTTATTTATTTATTTATTTATTTATTTATTTACAACACACTGTTGTGGGAGACCAGGGGAAAAACTGATACAATCAGACTGAGGGTGTCCTGGCCTCCCTACACGTGTTACAGCGTAAAAGGTGGTAACGAACAAAAAAAAACAGTAAAATGATATGCCCGTATAATATATTATTCATGAATATCCTTCATGCAAAAAAGTTACGTGCTTCCATGGACATATAGAAGAAACAATAAAAAAAATAGATTGTTTCCTTTAAAACCAGCGATAAACGAAAAAGAAATATACGGCGTTGTTTATAAGGCATGTTCACGATAAAGATATTGTGGTGAAAAGTCTCCGTAGTTCTTTAAATGAGGTTTCGAGAATGTTAAAAAAACTGCTCTTCACTAATTGCATTTACCAAATCTGGTAGCGTCAACCGAAGCATATATTTACAGCTCATGTCACGTTTGACGAGTCCGCTTGAATAATGTATGTCACTGAAAACGTTGTTTTTTTTTTATTGCGACGGCAATCATATTGACACTCAAGGAGCGTCTTTGCCGTCGCCGTCATGTTCCTTATATAATCCGAATCGGTGACATCACCCCCGCGCGTCGTGCAAAGCTTGCAAAGGCTGCAGGCGGCCTCGGCTCAATCAAAGATGAAATGTACGGCCGGATTCATCGGGCTCCGCGATTAGATCTGGCAATGTACCATTATGCGGAGCTAATCACGAAGGGCTCGGTGGGCGAATTAAAATGAAAAGGTGGCAATCGAAAGAGAGAATGGGCATGAGTCGGCATCGCAAAGCAGGGTAGAGGACAATTCACAACAGACATCTCTCGTAGAAACGAACAATCGAGAGTCTATTTCGTCTTGACGTCACGAGAGCGATCTTCTGACGTCACGAAATGTTCCGCAGGGACGGGAAACAACAGGAGAGAATCATTCACTGGTTTTGGATAACTTTAGAGGCTGTGTCGGGGCTCTTTAAGAATGGAGGCCTGGTGCGGTGAAGGTATTACAATCGAGAAAACGTGTACAGTCATTTCCATCTATTATAATGACGTTCAAAAAGAGCGCCTCTTTGCGCTTTCCACATTTCATTTATTTATTTATTTATTGGCAAGCGCATTGACAAGCATGCGTTACTAATGTTTCTGTGTTCTTGCCAGATAGACAACGAAAGACGCATATACCCCACTCCCAACACCATAAATAAAGGCGCCATAACATAAGTCATGCATGCATTTAGCGACCCTGAAATGCAGTCACGATTTCATAAAGACATAATATCGCGACATTTTTTTGTGCACAAGACGAACCGATCGGCATGCCACTGAAACCTAATCTGCTCGCACGCGCTAAGGGTCAGACTTCCAAGCGAGGCTGCATGTTTACTTATTTACATATAAATAACGTCTCGAAGCCACCATACGTTGCATAAGGTTAGCTGAGGCTGCAAAGCATCTCAATTAAAACACTACAGATGACGCACATGTAGTCATTAGTCGTAGTTTGACATCGCTTAATTGCGAGAAAGTCAAGTGCTTGGGAACCCAGGACACTGGGTCCCCAAGCAGCGTTCCGTCTCTTGCGTTCGGATCAGCATAGTTCGAGAACTGGGTCAAACGCACGGGGCGCCACCCGTGGCCAAATTGAAAATTATGCAAGACACGGCGCATACGGCACCGCAGCTCACGTCGCGTCTGCTTCGTCTCGCTGGCGACCCAAGACGTCTTTGGGGCCCACGCTAGTTTTCAATTTTGGTGTTTCGCCAGTCAATCCGTTCTTGTACTTTCTGCTGCCTCAGTACAAGTCCATATTTTTAATCCCATCTGCCCACCTAACTTTCTGTCTCCCCCTGGCGCGTTTGTCTTCTCTGGGAATCCAGTCAGTTACCCTTACTGACTAGAGGCTACCTTGCCTACGTGCTACGTGCCCGGCCCATGTCCATTTCTTCTTCTTGATTACCACTATGATATCCTTAACCCCTATTTGTTCCCTGACCTACTCTGCTCTACTCTTGCCTCTTAAGATTACACCTATCACCATCGCACTACACTTGAAGTGTTAAAAAATGCATTGTTGAACGAACTGTTAGATAAGTGACTTAGCAGTTAATTTCTTTAAGCCAAACCTTCTCTGTTCCAGGTCCAAGATCTTGCGAGAAGACTCATGATCGTCTTCAATGAATCACTGCAAACCTTTAAATGGATGGACGAAACTACAAGAGATGCAGCGGAGACAAAAGTACGCACGCGGCGCTCTTATTGACATTACCAAAACGTGAAACGACCGAATAAGCAGACAAGCAAGAAAGATTAGGCTTTTTTCACACATTTACGTCTTTTTTTTTTTTTGTTACGCTGAATAAGCTAGTAGTATGATGTGCCCATCGATTCGCAACAATTCCAGTCGCCCTTCGCCAGAACAAACTCAGTATTGGAGTTCTGCGAGAACTTCTTGTTTCCTAATGGTAATGCTCGTTCCCAACCGCACATCTTAGTGCATTGCATACTCACATCTCAATTAATGTGTACTGACTCCAATTTTCGAAGCTGACCTTCTGTTGCCGTACATATCTGTGTAACGAGACGGCTCTGAGAAAGTGTGGTGAAGCTCCGGAAACACTCATAAGATAATTTATTTTTGGACATCAATGTCAATTTTAGCATGGAGCACCAACAAACATCGGCACTAGCGTGACGTCAAACGACAGTTTTGATTTCACGCACCAGAATGTCTGGGTGTGATGACGTCAGGTACCAGAACCTACAATATGGCCGATGGCCGGTTGTGTGCCACCAACGGAGCGATATTCTACGCGAGCGATATTCTACGTGAAGAGAAAATCAAACCGTGTCGTGACGTCAAGTTATCGTAGCAACTAATACTAACTTAAACAAAAAGATGTAATAAATTTTCAGGACGCTGGACTCTAAAAAGAGGTATTAGAGCACGTCATGTACTGATTAAGGAATATCTATATATGAGCAATTTTTGTTGTTGTTGTAGTTGGTGTTGTGTCTGGTATCAATACAACGTCGGCGCCATTGCGAAGTTTTTTTTTTTTAAGAAACGCGTCTAGAATCTTGACAAATCGCGAAAATGCGATATTTGTTTTATCTTTTCTTACTTACTTTTTCTGTAGCTGTAGACATCTTGACACGGTTAAAGACATCACTTGGAACAGCAATTAAAGAAGTAAAACTAACTTTTTTTAATTGCCGAAGTTGGGTAGTTACGTCAAAATGACAAATTCAAGTGCTTCTTAAACTTCAAATCGCAGAAATAAAAAAGTTAATAATCTTAGCTTCCTTAATTTTGTGAAGACTTCGAACAAATATCCCATTTTCTTGATCTCTGAGGATCTTGCACACATTTTTCAAACACCTGGTATAGGAATGCACCACCTGTTAGCACTGAACGCGATATTTAGCCCGTGTGTTCTCTGTTAATTAACCTAAATTTCAACACAAAAATGCTTTCGTAGGTGCGAAAAAAATTCCTTCGGAATTACTATTGATTCGCAAATACGCGCGGCTGCTTAGAACGCCGTGACCAAGTGGCACTCCTTACGTGAACTCTGTCATGGACTCACACTTCACGTGTGCTTTGCCGAAACACCAATGCATTTTGTGTTTCAAAAGACAAACTATACGCGCCCTTTTTTGTCTCGGTGTGTTTTCTAGCTGGCTCAAATGGCAACTAAGATTGGATATCCCGACTGGCTTTTCAACGACACGTACATGGAGGAACTTTACAAGTTTGTGAGTATGCGAATTTCTTGTGTGCGAGTTTATTAGCTTACAAAATTGAAAAAAAAATTAGTAATCCCCGTTTCAGGGACACTAATGAACCAGTGAAGCCCGTGGCCTATACGCTTCTAAATGCAAGTGTTAACACGGGCCTTTGTCGAAAGTTTCCTTTGAAGTACCATCCAACTTCCGGACCCACAGCACCGACGCGGTCTTAGTATAGCAGCAGAAGCTTCATTTGTTGCGAATATCGACGTGACATTTTCATTGTTTATGTTTTCTGTTCTTACAAACATCAGGGAAACGCAAACTCCATAACGTATGGAACGAATGTACGGTCTACATTTCCCACTGTCATGTCCAATTCCGTCACTGCACCTGCGGGCAAAGGCGAGTGAACGGTCATGATGTGCACATACACACTAACCGGTAGTGCAGCATCTGACGTGCCGCGTACGAAATACGACGCCTTCGCTTGTCCACACACACGCCCGCACAAAAATAAAACTACCAGTTCTGCGTATACGAATGCAACCGATGAGCGAAGCTGTTTGGAAATGGGACACAAACGATCATGCGCCTCATCTCGCTGCTGGCTTTCATGAAGGCGGTATAGGGGTGAGGGGAGCGGGGGGGGGGGGAGAATTGATGATTGATTGATATGTGGGGTTTAACGTCCCAATACCACCATATGATTACGAGAGACGCCGTAATGAAGGGCTCCAAAAATTTCGACCACCTGGGATTTTTTAACGTGCACCCAAGTCTGAGCACACGGGCCTACAACATTTCCGCCTCCATCAGAAATGCAGCCGCCGCAGCCGGGATTCGATCCCGCGACCTGTGGGTTAGCAGCCGAGTACTTTAGCCACCAGACCACCGCGGCGGGGTGCGGGTGGGAAGAACGTCTGCTCTGCTCTGCTCAGTGGCGGGAAACTCTGAGCGAATGAGTGTTCGACGCGCGCGGTGCAGCGAGAGACATCTGCTGCCCCATTCCCGCCTGCGCTCGCCGGTAGCGCGCGTCATCTGTTCTTTTGCTCGGCGAGTTTGCTCGGCGCTGGGAGCTTCGACGGCGACAGCGGCGACGGTGGATGCGAGTTTAAGGAGCTTTCTGAAGGGGAGGGGGGGTCCAGATATGCCGTAACAGTCAAGCTTATGAAATAGGATGGCGTGGTTAATTGTATCGAAAGCTTTAGTAAAATCAATGAACACCTTCGCTTCTTAAAAAAAAAACGCTCGCTAACTACTGTTTATCTCGATGTTGCAGGTGCCACAACTATCCGTCAACACATCTTACGGAGAGATGATGTACGCCTTATCAGACAACCACTGGAAGCAGGAAATGCTGAAGCTACGAAAGCCGTACAGCAAGGATACCGAGTAAGTAGCGAACGCTAGTTTTGGGAATGCGTAAGGGTTCAGTTTCTTGTCGCAGTAATCGCGGCACTGAGGGATAAAAAACGAATGATGCAGCACGTGGCCTTTTTCGTGCGTTCAAGGCAACCATATTTGTACTACGAGGGCAAACGGAATTAATGGTCCTACTGATGTCAATTATGTGAATGCGTAAAATATGGGAAAAAACAAATCATCGACCCCAGAGTAATTCATTCCCACTAGCAGGAAGCTGTTTTTTACTTTAATTCATTTTCTGTTCATGCGCTAATTACTACGTTTCAATCGAAAACTACAAATAGCCCTTCTTAGAATTTCCTTAGAAGGGCCCTGAAAAACATTTTCAAGTAACCACAGAATGAATTCACTGGAAAAGCTTATTGCCTCACGAATTCAACGCCGCAAAAAAAAATTAAGTATCCGTCCAGTGCGAGTGAAGTTACAAAGGTTTGTCGCATGCTGCAATTGCATTCTCTTTTCTCTCGCCCAAACGAAAGCGCTGGAAGCTAAGCAGGGAGGGATGGTAGGGCCACAAAAAAAACGTCACACGTACCTAGTGGCCTTGAGCACTTCTTTCTTTTTTCTTTGAATGCGCCGCTTTTTTGATGTGGTCGCGCGCGCACGCGTGGACAAGTCGCGGCCTCCCGCGGCGATCTCTGTAACGAGCGAGCGCGCCATGTTCAAATCAGCCAGTGGTTGATAGATGGGCAATTCACGTGTGATTTTTGGGCATATTCTGCCATTTGTCGAGAGAAGAGAAAGCAATTTTTAGCTGACTTCGGTAATTTATTGTGAATTCCAGGCCGCATGCTGCGCTATAATATTTGGCTCGCGTGTTGTCGGGAGCCTCTACTACCGATCGGCAGCGTTTTCTGACCATGATCATGAGGTGTTGCAGGGCCCCTTTAAGTTCGTGATCTGTTCGCATCATGAGGTTGTGTCTGATTAACGAAGAAACGGGTCACGTTGGTCGATTCGCTCTTTTCTTCGTTCGCGAATCACTATCAAACGCATTATCATGATATAACAAGGTTCCAATCCGGAACTTTTGCGAATTTGCACTTCACGCCCTAAACATACCACACTCGGTATACCTACGCTGGTCCAAAATATGGCACTATCTCCACAACCTTTCACGTAACCGTAATGTACACCGCTGCCTACTTCCTTCCCTTCCCACCATACTTCAGCCAAGCCATACCTCAGAGCATTAATTGGAAAGCACCCTTAGCGACAGGTAGACAGGTAGATTGCCACTATCCCTCAAGAGGAAGGTATATAACAACTGTATCTTGCCGGTACTTAGCTACGGAGCAGAGACCAGGAGACTTACAAAGAGGGTTCAACCTTAATTGAGGACGAGGCAGCGAGCATATATAGGTGTAACCTTAAGAGACAAGAAGAGAACAGAGTGGATTAGGGAACAATCGGGGGTTAAGGATATCATAGTTGAAATCAAGAAGAGGAAATGGACATGGGCCGGGCACGTAGCGCGTAGACGGGATAACCGTTGGTCATTAATGGTGACTAACTGGATTCCCAGAGACGGCAAGCAGTTTAAAGGGAGACAGAAGGTTAGGTGGGCAGATGAGATTAAGAAGTTTGCGGGTATAAATTGGCAGCAGCAAGCACAGGACTGAGTGAACTGGCGGAACATGGGAAAGGTCTTTGTCCTACAGTGGACGTAGTCAGGCTCATGATGATGATGATGATGACTCTTAGCAACGGCACCCCCGCGCTCTGTCGGGCGCTCGTTCTGCGGGCCCGCGCTGTCGCAGAGGTTGTCATAGGTATCCCGGGAAAAAGACCCTCCCAGTTTTTTTTATATAATTAAAAATGTTTTCATCGTCATCCGAGTAATCGTTTAACTTCGTGGGATTTATTGCCTGGAGCAGAAACTTCCGGATGCTCAGATATTGTTGCTTCCCATATTCTACGACCTTTGTAACCTATACATAAAAATGTAAGTTGCATATTACAAAAAAAAATATTGTAACTGTCGCTGTTCTTATCTCAGCCCTGACTTGGAACACTGTCTTCATAGATACATTGCTCTACTTTTTGGACGAACATGCATCCCGCTAATTTCCTTAGAGTGTTTTGACCATCAAAACAAATTTAACTTGTATTTTTAAAGAGGCCCTGCAACACTTTTTAGCGTGCATATCCAAAAAAAAAAACTTTTCGAATTAGTAATGAAGGCTTCCGAGAACACGCAAGCCAAATATTATAGCGCAGCACGCGGCCTGGGATTTAGAATTAATTCCTAAAGTCTATTAAAAATCTCTGTCTCTTTTCTCGAGAAATGACGCTACATACTTCGAATCACTGCATCCCAGGCCAAGTATCAGCCATTGGCTGATTTGAGCAATGCGGGCTCAGTCGTTAGTGGGGCCACCGCAGGAGGCCGCGACTTGACCACGCGTGCGCGGGCGACCACACTTAAAAAGTCGCGTATTCGAAGGGGAAAAACTATAAAAGGTGCTTAAGGTCACGAGGCGCGCGTGACGCATTTTCTTTTCCCGTGTCGTCTCTCCCTGCTTAGCTTCCAGTGCTTTCATCGGGACGAGAGAAGGAATGCAGTTGCAGCATGCGACAAATCTTTGTAACTCCACTCGTACTGGATGGATTCAAAAAGTTTTTGCGGCGGTGAATTTGCGAGTCTATAATCTTTTAGAGAGTCTATTCTATGGCTAGCCCCGCCGCGGTGGTCTAGTGACTAAGGTACTCGGCTGCTAACCCACAGGTCGCGGGATCGAATCCCGGCTGCGGCGGCTGCATTTTCAATGGATGCGAAAATGCTGTAGGCCCATGTGCTCAGATTTGGGCGCACGTTAAAGAACCCCAGGTGGTCGAAATTTCTGGAGTTCTCACTACGGCATCTCTCATAATCATATGGTGGTTTTGGGACATTAAACCCCAGATATCTATTCTATGGCTACTTAGAACAGTGCTGTTTCAGAGCCCCTTTAAAGGAACTTCTATATAGGGAAAGTCATAACTCGACAAAAAAGTGTGTAGTCTAATCTTCTTCCTAGAGTGTGAAAATTGTGCCCGTCAGTCATATTGTGCATCATTTTTACACCTTTCTCGTTATTGTTAGGTGGCCGGTCAGTCTAGCCGTTGTGAATGCTTTCTACAACCCCAATGGTAACGAAATGGGTGAGTATCCCCGATAGTTATTCTCGACACCGAGGTAAGTGTAAGTTTCTCTTTCATTTGTCTTTGCTCAGGGTATAAGTACACCGGCTCACGATGCCCGCCATTTCATTGCTGTAGCGCGACACGTCAAGCGCGCTGTTCTTGAAATATGAAGCTCTCCGAACGCCACGTAAATAGGAAAGTTCTGATCTCCACGTTAATCGAAGTGCATTAATTCATCTAAAATCTCTAACTTCCTGTTCTCCGCAATGCTGCTGAAGTCAACCTAAAATTTTCAGAAAATCACAAGTCGAATCACAATGAAAAAAAAAATTGGCCGCGTATCTGCGGGTTTCGCTGCAAATGTCGTCGAAAGACGATAGTCATCTGCCTGGAAGCGCTGCGTGAGATATGAGCGCTACCTGGCAGTAATGTCGGGAAACAAAAGCAGAGCAGAAAGCAGAGCCACTGGTAGGTGGCAGCACCGTGCCGTCTTAGCGAAAACTGGGGAAAATCCGCCTTTTCGTTCATAGCGTCGCATTGTCAGCGCAGCATGAGAAATACTACGTTCTTTAGAATTATTTATCTGCACATTTTCTATCAAAGAAACACACTACCTAGTACTAACATATTGATGTTGCCACTCAGATATGCGTAACACTTGCTTTTTGATCGACAATGTTACAAGTATGAACGCACCCATCAGATCAAGATGGCTGCGCCTTGAGCAAGGGCTTGAACTTTCGTCGCGTGGCTGAATCGCTTCACAGCCAGACAAACAGGCAGGCAGCTAGATCAAAATGTCTGCATTGAAGCATAAAAAAAAAACTATCGTATTTTAAAACAAACGTGGAGATATAAGAATAGTTCGTAATTTCTACGGCACTGTAATGTAATGAAATGCGCTCCAAATAGGACGTGCATTTTTTTTTTTTTGTCCTCGCTTGTCGTTTTGACCCCATAAGCTGCCGTCGATGTCGAAGTCTGCATGAAATCGCCTATATTTTTCTCCTCAGTGTTTCCTTCGGGAATTCTTCAGGGAGTGTTTTACGGACAAGGACTTCCACGGTGAGTGAAATAAATAAATAAATAAATAAATATTATTACTACTACTACTACTACTACCAATAACAATAATAATAATAATAATAATAATAATAATAATAATAATAATAATAATAATAATAATAATAAAGGTAAACTACAAACGATAATCCAGATATTTAGATGATCTAACAATAAGATCGTTTGATTAAATACGTATCCAGGCTTTTCAGAACCCTATATGGTTTAGACTTTGCATTCACAGGAACAATTTAATGTAGCAGGACTTACCAAATCATCCTGGGAAATGTGTGTTCCAGTGAAGAAACAATTCACAGGCTACTGTGTATCGATTAATTTCAATATTTTCGATGCTACCTTAATATATAGCAATATAACCACAATAACGTGCTTTATCAGTTCCTGAACTTCTAATTAAGCTGTAACAAACTGTCTCTTCCAATAACTACGCTTCGAACGACAGTTCGATCAACTTCGGAGCCATCGGCACAGTTGTCGGTCATGAAATGACGCACGGCTTCGACGACACAGGTGGGTGATTTAAAAATATCAATCAATTATGTATTTTAGTAAAACAGGAATTTCAGCTGGTTGGTAATGATTCATTCTAAATGCAAAACAAAAAGTTGGGTGCAGTACAGAACAGGGATAAGAATGCTGTCGTCTTCGCTGTTGCCTTTTCCGTACTGCCCCTAACTTTTCTGCACTTCATCGGTGAATCAACCAATTGATTTGATTATAACATCGAAGAATAATTTGACTTTACAAAACTACCGGCGAGGGTACCGAAGTATAAACGTTGACCATGAAATAGAATACGGAAACATGTGATATAGCGAACAAGTTTTGCCAATTTTTCAATTAAGTTTGTCTCTAATTAGAATATTAGGACATAAGTACAAGTAACAGCCTAAGTTAAGCAACGAAAGACTCGCTCTCTAAAATAAAACAAAAAGAACGGTAGGAAGGTGAAAATGGAAGCTTGCGATGAAAAAAAAAAAAACGTAAACAGGAGTTGTGCTGCACGCAACCACTGTTTACGGACTTTTTTTTTTTCTTCGCTCGCTAAATGCGATACGTCAAAGTTGCATTTCGGAGATGAGTGCAGACTGGCATCACGTACCTTTCGATAACAGGTTACGAGCCCCGGGTAATTACAATTAGGCCCTTTCCCTTCTGCGCACTTCTAACCTCGAAAAGTCAAGGCGTTGCGGTGCATCTCGTAACAGTATAACTAACATTAATGAACTAACGAGGAACGGTACATGCAAAAGTGTGTCTTGTAAGTTATCACGCGTACGCTATCTTCGTGCGCTATCAGGTATCCTCCATCTCGAGCCTTCACTACTGAGATATGCACCGGCAACGCATGCTTGCACCCCACTCTACACCTTCCTGGCATCCTTTCTACAAAATTTCTACATTCACTCTAAATCTTTTATAGCAGACAAAAGCTACGCGAAACGAAATTGCTCATTGCATACCGAAAACAATCGGAAAAGCCTATTTCTCAATGGTACAAGCCTCGATCAACATGATGTAGACCCATGGCATGCAATTCAATCTTATTATATTTGCTTCGAGACATAGGTGATACAAACTTAAAAAAAAAAACAGGTTGGGGTCACAGGCGAAGGCTGGTAGAGCGCCGCCTTCTTAATCATGTCCTGCGCCCTTGCACATTGTGAAGAACATAGTTAAAGAGTGTTAACAGTTAAACAAGGCCTATAGTAGTTAAAGAACAAAATTAAAGCATGTATAGCCATTTCCTGACAAAACTAACGCGCGAGCTTATTGTTTTCGATGTACAACAGAGCAAAAAAAGCACTGAAGTCCAATCAAAATGACACATTACATTTTTCGAAAACATTTTTTTTTACGTGAGCGTCAAACAAACGAAAGCAAACGTTGCCTTTATCGGTGACTGGAGTGTTAGGATGAGTCTTTCTTGCCATTTACGCAGTGGCACCACTGTGCAATCTGAATAAATCTGAATAAACCTGCCCAGATATCTTAATGAAATGCTGCGTCTCAAGAGCATTCACTCGTTTCTCTTTTTGTTTTTATCTCGCGACTCGACAGGAAGTCAGTTCGACACTAATGGTGCGCTTAAAGAATGGTGGACAAACGATACACGGACCAAGTTCACGGAGAAGGCGAAATGCTTCGAGGAAGAATACGGAAATATCACAGACGTGGAAACTAATATGACGGTAAGAATCCGCAATAGCGTTTACATATATCACTTCTCGGATGTTGCTGAGCTATACGAGCTAGTTGTGTGCTGTGTTTGCGAGCACTACATAAAAGATGGCTTTTTTTTCTGAAAGAATAATGTGGTATTCGCACTCTCTGCTTCACCGAAAGTCCGCCACGGTGGTGCATACCAGAAGTGTGGCAGCTTGGGCTAGTTGTACTTGAACTAGTTGGTATGGCATGACGATAGTTATAGCGCGAGGACAAAACGACGACACAGAGACTAGAAGGACACGAAAGACACAGAGACAAGAAGGACACGAAAGACACGTGTCTTTCATGTCCTTCTTGTCTCTGTGTCGTCGTTTCGTTCTCGTGCTATAACTATCGTGGTGCATACCAGCTATAGTGCTCAGCTGCTGACCCGAAGGATGGAGGATTCATGGTTTGCCAGGTTTACCTCCGGAGCTTCGCCCACTCATCATCATTCACTTCGTGGATATGGCGGCACCCCCCCCCCCCCTTTTTTTTGTAACCAAGAAAGTTATAGCGCAGTACGTAATACCGATGGTCTGAAAGTCAAAATGCCTGAAACACCCCCCCCCCCCTCGCCTTTTTTTTTTTATTTTGCCGATCCTCAAAATTATATCGTAATTTTGGCACGTGAAATCCCAGATATCAATATTCAGCGAAAAAACACGCGATTGGGCCTCTCAGGTGTGGGTGAACAACATTACCTCGAAATAAACTCGTAGCCCAAGTGTCAAAATTTACATTCGAGGAGTAATGAAAACGATATCTGAGGGTTTCACGTCCCAAAGACACGACACGATTACGTGGCACGCCGTAGCGGAGGGCTCAGGAAGTTTAGACGACCTGGAGTTCTTTTAACGAGCGCTGACAGCACACATGCCTCTGGCTTTTCACCGCCGTCGAAATGCAACAGCCGCGGGCGGGATCGAACCCGCGACCATCGGATCTGCAACCGAGAACGTAGCGTGTATTAGCGCAGTACATAAAAGAAAGGGACACGACAAAGTCGTAGAGATAGATCATTTCTTTTACGTACTGCGCTAATACACGCTACGTTGATGGATGACCAACTCGCCCAATCTGCAACCCTTCTGCAACCAAGCACAGTCAGTGTTGCCACACAGAATCGGAAAACGTCTACCGCCAAAATAACCTATCGTTTCGCTTCGTGTACGTGCTCCCATCTTTAAATGGATATTCGTATATAGTAGAATTCACAATGCCGCTGCTAACAATGACGGTTTCTTCAGATAGCAAAATGAAATTGCCTTCGCGAAGCTCAGTTTGAGCGTGAAGAAAAGATGCTAGGCAGTAAAGAAGGGGAAATGATTTTCGATTGATTTATATGTGTGGTTTAACGTCCCAAAACCAACATTATTATGAGAGATGCCGTAGTGGAGGGCTCCGGGAGTTTCGTCCACCTGGGGTTCTTTAACGTGCACCCAAATCTGAGCACACAGGCCTACAACATTTCTACAACACAGCCTACAACAGTTCTGCGACCTGCAGCTCAATGTCAACTGAAGTATACTCAATAAAAAACAAGAAATCATCCACATACCGAAAAACCTTGCGCGCCTTCCTCTGAGCGAGCTTATCAGACAGAACATCAAGAGGGGCGAGAAAAAGATTGCTCAGTATGGGTGCGATGAACGATCCTTTGCATACCCCCATTTTCTGTAGACAAACAGCGTCGTCCCATTTAATAAACGTTGACACTAGATAAAAATGTAAAAGCTCTTAAAAATCTCTACTAGATATCAGGGCGTCATTCTGGAACCTTATGGCACCATATTCATCAATGAACTGTTCCACTACTTCGAGCAGGCCTTTACGAGGAATCGAGTAAAAAAGATCTTTGACGTCAATGAAAAATGCTTGGTAACCTTCGTCAGCGTTAGTTTCTAAAGAATTGATTGTTTCATCCCAGTTCGTTATCAGGAAGGGGTCTTTAATGGACAAACACTTAAGCTTGGCTTGTAAAAACGGTGCTACTGGCTTCTGCCAGGACTCATGTTCTGACACATTAACCCTTTGAGGAACGTCAACTTTATGGGTTTTTTTTTACGCTGAATTGAACCAACAGGTGGTTCCTTTTGCTAAGGACTTCTCTAATTTACCAAGGTTGAAGCTCTTGCATAGCTTAATAGCTGAGGACTTTACCTTGCTCAGTGACACGTCATCGCACCGCTTGAAGACTTTGGCGACGGCACTGTCGTCTTTTTCACAAAACACCCCCGTTGGAAGCACACAGAAGCCACCTTCCTTATCAGATGGCAACACACATAGAGAATTGTCCATCAGGTAGTCAGCGATGCGGTTAACCGAGAGTTTCGGACGTGCTCCCTTAAAGCGGGCGACCACATCAACACTCTCAGAAGTAAGACGTGGAACAGCTTTCCCTATCACATACTTTGACACCTGCCTCACGAAAGTCAACAGTTCTTCGGGTCTTTTCTTGGTTTCCACGGCGAACTTGGGACCCAACGACAGAGCGTCATGAATGTAGCCCGGAAGGCTAACTTGCTCCGTCACGTGGACACGGTTGCGGCGTTCTGGAGGAGGAGGAGAAAAAGCTTTATTGGGCAAGTGAGCTTGGGTCCTTTACGGACCCTGGGCCACCGCACGGCCATCACGTTGCGCGTATGTGTCCAGATCACGCAGGGCTAGGGCACTTGCACCACGGTTCTACCAGCGTTCGGGAACTTTCTTACGGAGACGGCTCCTGGGCTGTCTCGAGCAGACCTGCCACTCAACTTCTGTCTTCTGGGCGATAAGGCGTGAAGACGTGCGCAGGTTCATGTCCAACGACGAAGAATTCAGTTCTATGCGTAACCGCGTGAAGAGGAGTTTCCGGTATGGTCTTGCCTGTCTGTGAAGCTGCGATTTCGGGATCTTGCACACCCTTGCGATGCGCCCCGCAGAAGGGACACAGAAACAAAAGAGCGCCCCAACTTCATGCGGAACAATTTTTCGGCGGACCCACAAGCCCAATGAACGAGCCTTGCAAACTAAAGTGGCGATGAGCGACACGATGACGTGAGTGTCTTGACAATAGGCAGAAAAAGGGCCCGCATTGATATAGGATTGTTAGTTTGAGATAAGATCACAACTCGTTTTCCTCCGTAGCGTGTGCTGTGCCACACGTGTAAGGTTTTGTCATTTGTGTGGCGTCACGTGGAATGAGCTATGTAATGTGTTGTAAGGGTACGCAATAAACAAGAGCTTGGAAGTTAGCGCTCACAGTGTCGTCTGTTTCTTTTCCCCTTCTTTGCTGCATAACATCTTTTCTTCACGCTCAAACTTAGCTGCGCTAAAGCAATATCATCTTTTCATGCACCAGCTCGTCCAATCAGCGCAGTACTTGTCGATTTCAGATAGCAGTTTAGCCTGGCTGGGTTACTACTAATAACGTAAAACCAGGACGCGCGAGTAGTTTTCTTTTAGGGGCGAAGCACACTAAGACCAAACAATGTCCCTCCGTTCATAAACCAAAACGTCTGTGAACAACAAAAAAAAAGTTATGAAAAAGCTGTTGACAGGGACAAAGAAAATGAAAGGCCACAACACCGGAAAAACACCAACATTTAACCACCCGACAATCAAAGCCCATGGCAGAACAAAAGTTTAACAAGAACAAAATAAAATACTGTTAACCGGAACAAAATAGAAGGTCACGATTTAAGATATGATGCACTGCTTCGCTTATCATCAGCATTCACTTCGTATGCATTGTACTTGTTGTTGTTTGCTCTTAGATACGGGACGGATTTACGCTCTCCCATAGTAGAGTACCTAGTTCTCTAAATCGTTAGCCACTTTTTTCTAAACACTTTTTTATTGACGTGGACTCACGCTGAATAAAGAGGCACATTGACTTCTTGCGATCAAAAATCAAAGCGTAGCACGTAATACCGAAAATCCACATCCCATAAACGTGGCTGTATATAGTTTTTATTTAGATCCTACACTCTTCAGTATGCAACAAAACAGGAACTCTCACATTACGGCTCAGCCACGTCTCTCTGCAATAGTTACTTTTTCGTTGGAATACTGTGTCGTGTGACCACGCGTAACGTGTGATTCTGTTAATTCTGTCAACTACAGCTCAATGGTAAGAACACCTTAGGCGAGAACATTGCCGACAACGGTGGATTGCACCTGGCTTTCGAGGTAGGTGGCAGTGCTTCATATTGTTTGGCCGGTATCAGTTGCTGGGCCCCGGGAATTTGGATGGAGGGAGGTGTTCTACCAATGACAAATAATAATAAATGTTTTTCAAAGCCTTCAACACGTCCCCCACCCCCCCTCCGGAAAAAAAATTCTGGCTACGGGCCTTGTACAACGCATCTCGAAGGGTTAAAATCGGTGGTCCCGTACGACCTAAAATGACGACGTCAAATAAGATCTCGCTTCGCAGGCGTACAAAAGGCTTCTGCAAGTGGAATACAAGAACGTGGACACTCGTCTGAAGGACCTGGAAGAGTTCTCCGGCGAGCAACTGTTCTTCATCGCAAACGCTATGGTAAGTGTCATCGTGACGACGTTTCACTTTTTTTTTTGATGAGCGAGATTGTACGCGTAATCAACAATCGGATATTAATTGAGTTTTTAAAAAGTTTTGTTCATTGTTTGTTTCGCGCAGATAATGTGCAGCCTGAGTCGTCCCGAGTCCCTGAAGGAGCAAATACAGTACGACCCACACAGTCCAAGTCAATACGGGTATAAGAAGTATTTCACGTTCCGTTATTTCATCTTAATAGAAAGAACTGCAGAAGCCACAGAAAGTTTCGCCTCGGCATCGAAACCAAAATGGTTCTTCTGAAAGGCGCTACATTGATGAAAAGGCGAGAAGGCATATGAGATATGCACTCTAACCTCGATATAACGAAATAGTATATGCTAAAATATCAGTTATAACGAAGTAAATGAAAAATAGTCTTGCAATAGACAGTCTTAAGAGTTCACTTTTATAACGAATTTCGGGCTATTGCGAACTTCTTTTCGTGTTAGATGCAAATCTTTTGTAATGAAGTCTGAGACTCTGAGTGTATTGTTTAACGCAACGATACGTAATGTTCGTCATGTTTACAATTACTCCTGATAAAGGCCTCTCGCGAGAAGCTGGCAATACTCAAGTGAACAAACTAATTGAGCAAATAAATAAAAAAATTCACTCAGTGTGACAGTGATAGAGGCCCGACGACACAGAGCTCCTGCTCTCAAGTCTTCAGTTGTACTGCTTCGTTCCTTGGCGCTAAAGTTCACGATATGCAGTGTATACCAACCGCTCAATTTAAGACACGTTTCTAAAATTTGCTGACTGTTTGAAGATGACAGGAATCCCTCGAATCTTGGAGAGCAAGGTTTCGCAGCTTCTTATGCTTATTTCACACAATCGAATTTAGCGTCGTTTCGAGCGAGTGCACTGCTCCTGTATTAACGAGAACAGGCAATGATTTCCAGGAAAACGCATACCGGGTACGTTAAATGTAGTAAATATGGCGTATCTAAAGAACTTAAAGCGCACGAAAAGATAACTGTTCACTCGCAGGGTCCGAACCTGCGACCTTCTCATAACACGTCCGATGCTCTATTAACTACGCAACAGTGGCGGTCATGTCTTTCCCCCCCCCCCCATCACATTACGGAGTATATATCACTTCCAGAGTGTCAGCGCCTCCAGTAGCGATGACGATGGCGATAGCTCAGTGATGGGACGCGAAAAGCAAAGAACACTGTTAAGGGTAGGAGGAAGTTGCTGATGGCAGGAACGGCGGGCTTCTCTTCAGGGTAGCTGGCACCCCGCCGTCGTCCGCATAGCCGATCTTCGCCAGTGAGGAGACGCGTTCGTAAGAGGTAGAACGAAAGATTTACTTACATTATTGATGAAGGAAAGGAACTGTACGGGGATTCAGAAGATCCCGCAATATGTACAACAGAGGTTCGGCTCATGATTCCGTACAAGTTTCCGCTCACATGATTCAGCGCAAGATTCAGCGCTGTTTACAAAAATGCTTCGGCTTTTATAGCCCGCCGTCACCGCCGTGACGGCGGGCTTTCTGTCTCTTCTCGTTTTTCTCATTGGTAACCTTGCGCCACGTATTTCAACTTAGAGGTTGATGCGTACGTGCGGCTCCGGCTACTCCTCTTCCCTTACATGATAATTTGCACTGTGAAGTTATTAATGACCATGAAGCAATAAAAATATTTTAACCATGAAAACGCACACTCGCAACCGCAATTTTTGCACGTCAGCAGTGTTACGTGAGCTCGTTTCTTGAGCGTAAAAATTTAAGCCGAAATTGTCCCCATTGGTGCATCCAAATACCGGTGTCTGTTTATCTGCTTACTCTTTTTTTCTCTGTATTTTAGCATCAACGTACCGCTGTCAAACTTGCCCGCCTTCTCCGACACGTTCAACTGTTCGGCGAATTCCGCTATGAACCGACAACACCGGTGCGCCATCTGGTGAGGCTTTCGCCGCCAGGGAAGAGAAAGCAACGCTGTGACGTCGAAATCGCCTGAATCATTCACGTGTTTCACTCGATAAATATGCGCCGATTGTGAAAAAATCTCTTAATAAAGAATACTGGAAACTCTTTCGAGACCACAACTTTTTACACAATGCACAGCGTGTTCAGTTATTGTCTGGTCGTGGTGTTGGCCAATGCTGACCACAAACAAGTAAGAGAGTCCTTCGAAATGAACTTTTATTGCAATAGAAATTGTATGGACACTCTACGCTATATTTTGCCGCCGGCGTCGCCGTCACTCACCGTATATGTATACGTAATATATATATATATATATATATATATATATATATATATATATATATATATATATATATTGCCACAGCTCGACCATCGCAGAAGACGCGTACCACAATTCGCGTTCGTAAAAGCCGTCAAGCAAGTAGCAAGAAAGCCGCGCCATGGAACGCCGTCCTGCACGCGCCACGATGCTACGCCATGGGACTGGCACGAGACTCTAGGGGCAGAAGAAGAGACCGACGATGTTGAGTCAGCGAGAACAGACATTTTTTTGGCTGACCATTTTTAGCTTCGAATTTACGGGCACAAGTTCGCCCTAAATAAAGAGTTTATATAGTACCAGGTGCTATATTTATTCGTAACAATATATATATATATATATATATATATATATATATATATCGGAATCCAACGTGGAATCTCCGAGTCGTGAATGCGAGGTGTAAGCCCCTGAGCCACCCAACAGTCGTCCTTCAAAGTTCAAACGGCAAGCTATTTATATCTATTTATATCTACCACTTACCGCTGGTGATGGGCATCTCGAGGGGAGGAGGCTATCGTGTTTCTAGCATTACTAGCAAGATGGCGCAAAGAGCGCGCGGTGGCGTGCTTCTCAGGGGGGGGGGGGGGAACTAACGTGTTTCTAGCATTGCCATTAAGATAATGCAATGAGCGCGCGGCGGCGCGCGTTCTCATCTCCCACGCGTACTTTGCCCCTAAGAGTGAAGATGGTGGAGGCACGCTCGCGTACCCTCATCTCGTGGTGGAGTGGACTATCGTACGTCTTGGCTGGTGTAGGGCTTTCACTAGAGCGTTTCTGCTGTAGTTACCGGTCACACAAAGGTCACTGCAATCGTTGCACAGTCTCCGTTTCCGGTAATGTGCACATGTCCTTCGCTTAACAGAAAAGCCAATTGAAGGTTCGTACCTAAGCGGCCATTCTTAAGAACGAAAAAACAAGCGAACGGTGACGACATTAGGTGCCCGGCTGAAGACCAGAAAGGTCGCAGGATCGAAACCTATCCGCGGCGGCCCCGTTTCGATGAATGTGAAATGTGAGGAGAGGCGTGTGCCCTTCGAAGAACGCCGGATGGTCACCATTTCCGGAGCTGCCCACTTCGGCGTCGCTCATGGTCACATCATAGTTTTGGGACTTAAAACCCCAAACGATCGCCATTACGTATCGACGACCATAGCGGGCGATATGTTCAGCGACGCTACGCGGGCGCAAGTAATTTTTTTGGAGGGGGGAGGGGCGCATCCCCAGTGTGCCACCTCCTGGTTTCGTCACTGGCCACAGGTGATGCATCGCCACTGACCACATGTGATGCAGCCGCCGCCGCGTGAGACCGCTCGCCTCCGTACCACTCAGTCACGTGACATAACCGTAGCTCTGTCACGTGACATCACGGCTGCTCGGAGGCAACTTTGAGAGCATTGTTCTGTTCGCAGGGAGCGGTCGTCGGAGGCGCTCGCCTTCGTACCGAAGAAGGACGGTAAGGCAGCGCGTTCGCGGCTCACGTTCCAGGCATAATTTTTTTAGGAGGCGTTGACAGGAAGAGCGTTCTCACGGCCGCCACTGCTGCAACCGAAACGTTCATGCGGTCAGCCACAGTAATACTATGTTAACATTCAAAGAACCTCTGGCGATCACTTCACCGATTGGCTCTTTGGTAATGATGGCGATCGATTCAATGCGACCAAGTGCAGTCACCTCTTCGGGCACCGCAACGAAGTTCTCGCCCTCCAGCTCGTAGCCTGCAATCACAGGCTGGTCATCTAACTGTTTAAAGTAGAAGGTTTCCCGCATATTTCAAATTCTGTCAAAGGCTGCACTGAATACAAACATCTATCAAAATCAGTTTGGCTTACGCCATTTTATTTACATTCCTGCTAGCCTCTTCTACCTCTTGCTCTGGCCTCTTCTTTTTCGCCTTTTTTCAACCGATTCTCTTATCGTGGATGCCCCGGTAGATCCAGTCCACGACTATCGAAATGTACTCGTTCATTAAAAAAAATTCCTTGACCTGGAATAAAAGGATATATATTTAGTAGCAGCTAAGGTACAGCTTTGACAAGTTGCCCATTAACACAAAACACAAAGTATTGTTCAATTTATGGGAGTCATTGTAACACTGTACTGGAATGGGAGAACGGTGGTCACTTTTGCGATCGCGCCACCAGTAAACGCCATAATTGAACGGTGAGCCCGGCGTGCGTAGTTTAAAATTGCATTGCGAAGCTTTGTGCAGTTATTGAGTAAGATAAACCCAAACCTCCTTTTGACAAGGTTGCATCTTTGACATAAAGAAGTTTGTTTTAACCAAAAAAATTCAATAGGGTAATTTATTAACACTACATCTATATCAAGAGTATTCTTCATTTACTTCACGATAACTAATATTTCGTTCTATCTAGGTTTCTTATATCGCGGTTTGAGTGCTGTCCCAAAGCAGGACTGAAACTCAAAGTAATTTCAAGATTTAAAGAATCCAACACATTCGGATGCAATAATCGTATTAATAAGGTTGCTTCTGCACTGTCCAAGCTTGCACAACTCCTATTGCAGAACAGCGACCCGGATAGTTTGCATGCTCACTGTTTTGATTACAGACGACGTAAAGAAGCACGTGGCTGTTCGTTCTACGCACATATACCCTACCTAACTATCAAGCTAACTTAAACTCATGCGATGAAATAAACGAGGGGGTCTTGAAGGATACCGAGTGAGTTCCACGACCACCACTTATCTGCACGAGGCAGAAGAGTAGTTGCATCATTTTTGATAGAAAAAAAGAAAATACCTGAAGACAAATACTGTCCTTTGTATTTAGACATTTTACTCATAAAAGAGACGCGAAAGTGCGAGAACGTAACTATAAATTTTCCGTAGTGTACTGGGGTGATATTCAGTGTTTACTGCAAACACCTAGCCTTTCGTGCACATGTTGAAATTGGCCGACGCGTTAGGAGGAACAGACGGTAGCAATTGGAGTCTTCCCCCGCCCACACACGTCCAGCGCGGCAACTACCGATCTCAGATGCTTTATACCTCAGTGTACCATAAATTACTTCAGAAGCGGTGACAGGTGGCGATACCGTAGTACACTGTGTGCCCCAGCACCGCTGGCCAATATCGCAAAGAGTCATGCTATCGGCGCCAGATCACGCACTGTCCCATTCCAGTACACAACATAACACACTTCAACATTCTTATATAGCATTTCAGCAGAGCCCATACTTCACGAAAGCATGGCGATGCAGTGTCTCGTGTTTAGTTTCGTTCGTGCAATGGGCAAAAGATACTGTGCCTACTGCAGTCACCACTGTGTCTTCGCTGGTGCGTCCACCGTTTGTCCAGCCGTGTACCGGCAGGATGTCACGGTTACATTCACATGGTGTGCCTATTCCAGTCAACACTGTGTTTTCGCTGGTGCGTGGACCGTTTGTCCAGCAGTGTACCGGCAGGATGTCACGGTTACAATCACATGGTGTGCCTACTGCAGTCACCACTGTGTTTTCGCTGGTGCGTGCACCGTTTGTCCAGCCGTGTACCGGCGAGATGTCACGGTTACATTCACATGGTGTTATAACTATCGCAGCGACAGCTTCCGCTCTAGGTTACTGTACGAAACTATCATTTTATATAACTATAGACCACTCCATAAATGTCCCTGTTGCACGGACCAAGTGCCGACGCCCCTAGGGAGAGTAATACCGTTTCAGACGGCCCCTGTTTTCGAAAAGACGGTGTCACAAATCTTCGTCTTAAATTTCGATACCAGCGGCATTCTGTGGAAAAATGCTGTACGGTTTCTGCTTGTTTACAATATCAACATTGAGGGGAAGGAACGAAGCCTCTCGGGCGTTCCAAAAACTAGCCACTTCCATCTTCTTCCCTTTTCTTCTTGCGTTGCCTAGTCCGACGCATTTTTACAGCGAAAGCTGTTATGAGATCACAACTCGGGTCTCGCGCAGCGCCGTAGTTGTCCGCCGCCGCTGCCGCCACCGCCGATGTCCGTCAACAAATCGCGCAAAAATACAAAAAAAATTTGGCACCGTATATGGATGTTAATCCGCAAATGTCGTCGAAACACGACAGTCTTGCGTGTGGAGAGAGTGAACAAAGGATTTAATTGATGTTCTGCGCAAGAAAATCGGTGAATGGTACTCTGGAGGCGCTGCGTTAGAGTGCCTCGCGCGTGCAGCAAAGGCGAACGAGCGCATCAAGTCACGTCACACGTGAGGCATGAGCGCCATCTGGCAGTTTTCTTGAAAAACGAAGCGCGTGGCTCTGAGACGGGTGTGTGCGCCCGTCACAGAGGTGATAAGGTGTAGAACGTAAGGCGACGGGTAGGTGCCACCACAGTCTCGTCTTAGCAAAGCGTTGAAAACACTCGCCTTTTTGATCAAGCGTTGCATGGTCAGCGCAGCGTGATAAGCGCTACGGTTTTTAAAATTACCTATGTATGCCTTTTCTAGTAAAAGACGCACATGCAGAATATATACGTGTTGTTATGGTGCCCCAGACACGCGCAATAATTGTTTTTTAATTGACAATTGCACAAGTATGAACGATAAATCTTGAGCAACATTGGTGGGCGCTGCAGATGGGGTCGGCCGTTTCAAGTACCTAGTGCCGTTAACAGTGGACAAACAAACAAATGTACAGAGAGACAGACAGACCAAAATTTTTGCGTCGAAGGTCCCCAAGAAAGCTTATTGCCTTTAAAAACAGTGGGGCTTGAACCCGGATCCACTGGGTGCCAGCCCAGCATTCTACCACTGAGCTACGCCAGTGCTTGGGACTTGTTTTCAAACTTGCCTTGGGCAGGCTTCATATCGAGAAAGCAATCACGTTAATACGACTTATAAAGCGTTTTAAAACAGTGAAAGAACAAGCAGTCGTCGCACAATGCGAATACCGTAACGAGTGGGTCATCCAATGCTCGACCTCCATCACAAAAGCTTGTTTTCGTTCAGCTATTAACTGTGGCACATACCCACTTCAGGCCAACGTTACTAGATTACCTCAGTTTGCAAACTCCGCCGGGATGCGGCGGCGAAACGCGGCCCCCTTCGTTTCCCGCTCTCTAGGTGGCGCTTCCGACGCCATTTGACCGGTTGCCGCATCGTAACGGAGCCTTCGCGCAAAGTTAAACGGAATTTACGCGGTTAATTTTGTGTAATGGGAGTTATTTCCCGAGAGGGTGAGCGAAGGTTATTACCAGTGTGCAAGTAAATCACCAGTTGAGCCGCTAAGGCGATGCCACACGGCAGAGACGTGAGCGCGATGCCCGAATCTTGCGGGACTTCTGTTCATACAGCTCTTTTGCGTTCCTGTTCTTTAAAACTCGATTGCTTATGTAAAAAAAACCATTGACAGTGGGCCACAACATTAAGTCTAAATACTAGAGGGCTATGCCCTTCGATTCAGGTGCACGTTAGAGAAACCCCAGGTGGTTAAAATTTCCAAAGCCCTTCACTACGACGTGCCTCATAATCATATCGTGGTTTTGGCCCGTAGAACCTTCGATATTATTGTACGATGAGCCACGCACTACAGCCATCTAATGACGCCGGATATGTTAGAGTGTAAAGCCCAGAAAAATGCGCCGCACAGCATCTTCATTAAGAGCCCACTTACCACGCGGAATGAGAACTACGTCACCATGAACGTGGTGCACGTAGTCCTTCGCAATATCTTCCTCTCGGAAGTGAAGGTCACAAACAGCGCAAGAGCTCGTCAGTTCCTTATCCAATCTCGGTATAGCCCGTCGCCACAGTTGAAGGCGCACCTCGTCAGCGGGAGGCTTGAAAAAATGTCTCTTTTCGGCCGCGGATTTCGTCGAATCGTACCCACTTCGGCAACCAGTCACAAAGCAGCGAGGCATGTTTTCTCACATTCAAGAACCGTCACATGACACATGTGAGCTGTGTAGCTCACACGGAAAGCGATGACTGAGTTGAAGACATTAAAAAACACCCGGCACCATGCAGATCACGCCAACGCTGACAGCGTCGGTGCCACGCCGGGCACCACGTTGATCGCTACCGTAGTAAGTTGCAGCCAGAGCACACACTACGCGAGTTACGTCGAAATAAATCTTGCTGGGACTCAGTGACGGCGATGACTACGAAGCACACTTGAAAGCAACAAAGCAGCACCCGGCATAAGAACACAACTGCAGTAACTCCGCCGGCGTGGGTCCGGGCACCGCCGAGAGGGGGCGCGCTTGCGGCTTTTTGACCGGTACAGGGAAGGGTGACCCTCGCGGCGCCGCAGTTTGCAAACTGAAAAAAGTATCTAGTAACGTTGCTTCAGGCATAATTCCCCCATCGTCGTCAGCCACTGAATGAACAACTGGCACAAAATTCCTCGCAATAGTTTAGCGGCTACCACACTTTTCAGAACAATGACGAAAAATGGCGTAGCGAATGCCGGCCTACTACCCTGAATTTTTTTCTAATAACGGCGTAGTGGGCATTGAGCAACTATGCTTGCAGCAGTTACCCAATGAGTGTTTAGAAAAAGCTCTGAAAGGCCACTCTTATAGATTTCGCTGTGACTGTGCTGCGCCTTCCGCGCAGGCCTGGCGTTTTTTTTTTTTTTTAAGACGATAGCCTTTCTTGGGGATCTTCGGCGCAGAGATTCTGGTCTGTTTGTCTGTCTGTGCATTTGTCTGTTTGTCCACTCTTACCGGCATTGGGTACATGAAACGGCCGACCCCATCCGCAGTGACCACCAATGTTACTCAAGGTTGAGCGTTCATGCTTGTGCAATTGTCAATTAAAAAGCAATTATTGCGCGTGTCTGGGGCACCATAACAACACGCATATATTCTGCATATGCGTCTCTTACTAGAAAAAGCATACATAAGTAACTTTAAGGACCGTTGTGCTTATCACGCTGCGCTTACCACGCAACGCTTGCACGGAACGCGAAGTGCTTCCAACGCTTTGCTAAGACGAGACGGTGGTGGCACCTGCCCGTCGCCTCGCGTTCTACGCCTTATCACGCATGTTTCTCCGCACGCGCGTAACCCTTCTTTCGTTTTCGAAGATAAGTGCCAGATGGCGCTCGTGTGTACCGTGCCTCGATGCGCTCGTTCGCCTCCGCTGCACGCTCGAGGCACTCTTAACGCAGCGCCTCCGGAATACCATTCACCGACTTTCTTGCGCAGAACATCAAATAAATGTTTGTTCACTCTCTCCACACGCAAGACTATCGTCTTTCGACGACATTTGCAGATTACATGCAGAGACAGGGCCAATTTTTTTTCTTGTTCACCTATTAACTGTGGCGCAAACATACTGCGGGGGTATTTGTTTGTTTTTCGTTTGTTTTTTGTTTGCTTGTAGGCTGGATACCATGGCACATACGCAGTCCCGATTGATTGATTGATTGATTGATATATATGTGGGGTTTAACGTCCCAAAACCACCATATGATTATGAGAGACGCCGTAGTGGAGGGCTACGGAACTTTCAATCACCTGGGGTTCTTTAACGTGCACCCAAATCTTAGTACACGGGCCTACAACATTTCCGCCTCCATCGGAAATGCAGCCGCCGCAGCCGGGGTTTGAACCCGGGACCTGCGGGTCAGCAGCCGAGTACCTTAGCCACTAGACCACCGCGGCGGGGCACATACGCAGTCCGGGGGAGTGGCCAAGAAAACATAGTATCCTATGGACGGTAACTGCACGATTGCTTACCAACAAAAATAATGTAAAAGAAATAAAACATTACAAACATGAAGAGCAAGAAGGTGAGAAACAAAAAAAAAGAAAATGATCACTACTACGATAACGACAACCCGATTTTCGGACCAGATCAGACAGCTGAGTTTGCCAAACCCGATTCATTTGGGATGTATGTGTTATATGTTTCATCAAATTTTAAAATTACTTCCCGATTACTTTCTTTCTCGGGTAGTTAATAAAGTGTTAAGTTGACGTACGTTTAGTGGCTTGAATTCACTTACACACCGCAAAGACGAGGCAACTAGCCCCTCGGTCGCCTTGGCAACCGCGACGCGGCAGCACTGCCCCGCTTCCCATAGCGAGTACGTAACACGTGAGGAAAGCTCCCGGTCATGATTTCTTGACGGTCCTTCAATTTCTTTTATTTTTGCACGAGGATTTCAAGCGGTTCGCTCCATTCAACAAATGGAGTGAACTTAAGCTTAGTACCTAATACAATTATATTTGATGCATTCATTTACAGCAAATCAACGAAACGTGCTTTCTATACCATAGGCACCCGACACTGGACCAGAGGGCGCGACGAAGCTCTTCGGGCCACCTCAGCATTGTTGGTACCGACCGCCAGGGATACTAAGAGAATGGAGCGCTCGCTCAACACAGTGACACGCTGAAGCGTCAGTGTCACTTTTAGCACGTTTTCAAAGAACGCATCCTGGGCGCTTACATAATCGGCCGTGACCCCCTTGCTCACAACTAAAAGAAAAAAATGATGTGCACGTGCAAGGTCGGTTTTGCTGCGTCTACTCGCTAGGCTGTGTGTTCTGGCGCTACAATCAGAACTCGTAAACTGCATCGCCGGGTGCCTATAGCTCACTTCACGGAATCGCTTAGAACAAACGTTGCCGACTGTTCTGTCTGGGTTATTCTTATATCCTTGTGATTTCATCTTACTTTGATGTCATATCATACTCCCGCCGTCGGTACCATATGAGTGATATGACATACATTGTCACGGGGTTGGTAAGCGAGGTTTATTTACAATGAGCTGGACGGCGAGTGCCAGCCAGTATTTGTTTGTTTGTTTGTATCCTCTAATCCATGGCTCGTACCCACTCTGGGGGATTGGCCAAGAGAACATATACCGTAGTCTCATATGGAAGATAACTGCATTATTGCTTATAACGAAAAAAAAAAGGGGGGGGGGTTGTATAGTGAAGACAGTATTGCACGTCAATTTTCTCCTTCTTCTACGTCTGTTGCTGTTGTCGCCGCTCCTCCTTTACTATGGACTAGACCCACTAACAATATTCCTCCGCGTAGTATTCCTTCACGCTAGGGCTAAAATATGCCTGCGGCTGGATGCAAATGAACACATGAACGTATTACGGCCCCTTTTTTCCGTCTTACATCTAAGTTGGCACATGTCTTGTTTCGTTCCTACTAAACCGTAGTCCGATGGGTGGGCCCTACCCCGTAGTGGGTTGTGCCATGTCGCGCAGAGTGCTGGGCCAGCCAATCTCCAAGCGCCAGCGCGGTCCATTCGGCGAGGCATCTCTCCTGCTCGGACACCTCATCGACTCGGCAAGTCGGTAAGTCGGCGAGGCCACTAGCGCGACCAAACTCGACGAGCTTGAAGCTTAGAAGTGTGGCAGCTTGGGCTAGTTGGTATGGCATGAAGATAGTTATAGCGCGAGAACAAGACGACGACACAGAGACAAGAAGGACACGAAAGACACAGAGACAAGAACCGTGTCCTTCTTGACTCTGTGTCGTCGTTTTGTTCTCGCGCTATAACTATCGTCAAGCTTCAAGCGTTAAGAAAGGGGCGGTATACCAGCCTTGCTCTGCACCACTGAAGCCGCAAGTACAGTGTACCCAAGGTCAGCCGTCTCTAGTCATGTTCGCAATGTTTCAGCAAACGGAGGTTTAGTATCTTTGCGCGCATCGTTTAAAAATTACCCTACGTTTTGATCCGCTGCCCGTTTGGTGCGCCGAAGACGTACCAACTGGCCCCTACTGCAGCCTCATTAACCGAGAACCATAACTTCTCGGCAGCTACGCTCTACCTGGCCCATAGACCATCCAGAGGTCAAATTTCAGGTGTGGTGTTGCAGCTGTGTACCAGCTGTGTACCAACCAACCAACGCGTAGCCGCGAGAATAGACTACTTTCGTAATGCGCAAGTGCACTGCATATTTGCACGAGTAATGGCGCCGTCTATCGTGCTTCAAGCGGAGACGCGGTCCTATAGCTGAATGTGCCGGGGCCTGGAGTCTATCGTGCGCGCTCTAAACTCTCCACGTCATAGCGTGTGCAATCGGCGCTTGAACAGAATGTTTTCAGTAAGTGCATAGCGGCCACTAGTTTGTTAATTTTGAAAATGATCTATTCCTCGAAACGATGCCAAGAAGCTACAGGCGTTTGATTATCCAAAAACAATAGTTTCGCTCTACAAGCTGATGCTGATGCTGATGACCTGTGATGAATGGCACTTACTCACTAAGGGGGATGGGCCAAGAACCGGGCGGCAGGATACTTAAATGAAACTAAAATGAAAATGAAGCCAATCTGAAAAAGTAGCTTAAAATAACACTACCAAAAACAAAAATGTTTGCTGAGCAAGCGGTCAAACCATCTTTTGTTTTTGAAAGACATAACTACGAATTATAAACTAAAGATCTGAAAAGGTAGAAGTTCACTAGCATGGTAATCTTTTAGTTGCGTTGATGTAATCAAACACAGCGGAGCATACATCCCTGTGGCAGTAACCAAATGAACTTCCGCCAATTGACAAAATTACAAGCTTCGTTACGATCCGTTTGTGGACTCCTCTTCTTCTTTTGGCCGAGTGTGCTCTTCTACTTCACCTTTCGAAGAGGAAGAGTGGCGACCGCACGTGCCCACGAGCGCACAAACGGGTCCCCGTAGCTTTCAACGCTGGACGCTCGTAGTGACGTCACGACAACGCTGGGAATACCGAAATGCCCGGAGAGGGCACGAATTTTTTTTTTTATTATTCTGCGGTGCGCCCACGTTTCGTGGCCCTGTCACGTTTTGCGATTAGCGTGCACGGTGGAATTTTCAACTGAATGCGGAGTGTTCACTTGAATTTTCCAAAAAAAAAAAATGAAGATACACCCTTTTTAGGCGGAGGGCTAACTTGCATGAAACCGACAGAGCGGGGGACGGGTGGCCAATCAGAACGGGACGAAGGTTTTGCAGGCAAACTGAAAAAAACTGCAGCTAATTGACAATAACTAATTTATGAAACTTGATTACATATCGCGTTGATTTTCAGTAAGCGTGTCACAAAAGGTGCTATCGAACACAGGTAAGAAGCGAGAATGCCACTACTGGTCAAAGGTAACGTTTCGGCTTTCTGATAAGAATAGATAAGGAAAGGCGGATAGACAACGTTATCGAAGGTCGCATAATACTGCACTGCGGGCTTCAAGTTGCCGAGCTCTGCTATAGCGGGTATGCACTGAGCCTTCATTCACAAGAGGGCAACACCGTCGCCGCGCCATTTTGAAGGTCCGTTCATATACGCGCCGTCGTTTCGGCGTGCAAAAAGTGCTTAGGAGGACTCTAAACATCCAAATTGCTGAGCGGATTTTGAACTCGGCGCGAAGAGCGAATTTTACGGCGAGCGCGCGGACCTTCGAAATGGCGACCACGACGCTAGCGATTCTTGCAAATGACGCCAAGTGCATACCCTTTATAAGCCCATCCTACGTTTTCTGTAGACGCGATGGAGTAGGCCCATCTACACTACCGTAATGTTTTGCATGTTAAACTGCGAGGTAAACAATGAAGGGAGTGGCTTACAAAGTTCACTTTCCAAGCTTGCTTGTTCACCTGTGAGACAACTTTCTAATTTTCTAGTTGTTGACCTCCACCTTCGAATGAGATTGATGGTGCCGCGAGGTGTTATACAGACGCACACACTCACACACACACACACACACACATATATATATATATATATATATATATATATATATATATATATATATATATATATATATATCTTTATGAGCCTGTTTGGCATCACGTAGCACGTGAACTTATTGCTAACTGGGGCAGCTGACCAATAGTCCCCCGTATACAACCTAAAGGCACCAGGTCTGCCAGTACTAGACCCTCGTTAATGAATAAGGGAAACAAGTGTATACTTAAGAGCTCGTTTTTCGTGTTTTTACGCAATGTGTGTCATTTTACACAATGGTGTTTTTACACAAGAGTGTGCCACACTCGCCGCCATGGCTACTAGTGGCGCTGACTGACACTCCCGCGTCTAAATTGACATAGATACGCAATAAAGTGGCTGGGGGCATAGCTGTCGTGGTAGCTCAGTGGTAGAGCATCGAACGCGTTATTCGAAGGTCGCAGGTTCGGATCCTGCCCACGGCAAGTTTTCTTTTCACCCACTTTTCTTTCTTCTCATTTACGTTACAATTGGCCTAATAACTTCCCCTATACTTTCCTTGGCATTATTGTCTGTTAGATCTCATATATATATATATATATATATATATATATATATATATATATATATATATATATATATATATATATATATATATATATATATATATATATATATATATATATATATATATATATATATATATGCAGGCATGGTGGTTGAGTGGCCGTAGCGTTGCATATAGTCTAGTAGATCCTCCGTGAGCGGTCACAACGTGGTTTATTTCGACGTTTCGGCCTAGAGTCTGGCCTTCATCAGGAATAAAGATACAGTTTGTCGGTGCTCAGCTTTATACAATCTCAAATCAGAGGACAAGGTAAGAGGGAAAAAAAAGAAAAGAAAAAAAGAAAAGAAAAGGAAAGAAAAAAAAGAAAAAAGATAAAAATAATATACGGTGAACGCCCCTCGGGTGCCCCCCCTTCCACTTTTCCCTCCACTCCCCCCATCTCTCTCCCCCCTCTCCCCTTCACCTTTCTGATGTCAGCGGTCTGTGTATGTTTCCGTTCACTAGCGCATTCCTCCCGATCAGACGGTCCCTCCTGGCACTGGCGGTTCGGTGTGGGGCAAAAAAGAGCTTTTCAGGAAGTCCTAAGCCTTTAACTGCTCGGGGTCCCGTAAACAATTCGTCGTAGAAGGACGGGGGCCGCGTATTGTGGCAGAGGCTGGTCAGCTGGCATTTTAGGAAGTTCTAAGCCTCTAACTACTCCGCGCCCTGTCAACATTTCGTCGTAAATATAGGGGTGCCCCGTATTGCGGTAGGCTGTGCAAGCGCGTGCAATGCGAATTCCTGGCCCGCTTCTAAATTACGCGTGTCGTGGGGGCCTCCCGGCTGTGCACATGGTTGCTGTTGGGCATGTCGTGCATGGCACAATTGATTGGGTAGTAAAATAAAACAGAAAACAGGCGACAGCTGCACTTAGGAAGAGTAGTTACACTTGGAATTGTTTTAGGTTGTCCAGTGCCCTTCGCAGCTGCAGTGCCGTGAACTCAGTTACTATTTTCATCGTTGCCGTTATTGTTTTCTAATGCTTTAATTGCTGCAAGTGTACCAGGATTCTCATTTATTCCTCTATCGAGGGTGTTAAATCGGTGGATAAGGTATGACTCTCGTTGTTCACGTTCTCGATTTGATTTAAATCCCGTCTCTAAGAGCGTTACTGATAGTTTGTCGAATGCATGGTCGGGAAGATTGAGATGTTTTGATAGAGGTAGACTTGGGGCTGATTTCGCATGGGCTCTGTGATTATTGAAGCGAATCCTAAATGGTGTTTCTGTTTGTCCGATGTACTGCATACCACACACGTTGCATTCGAGTAGGTACACCACATTAGAAGAATCGCATGTTAGGTTTCCTCGTATGTTAATCGAAAACTTGGATTGCGTGCTGGTTGCTTTGTCTGTTTCTCGCATCGCCTTACATACAAGACATCGTGGCTTTAAGCAAGGGCGGCATGAATTATTGGGGGGTGATGTGTTAATTTGGGAGTGGACAAGGGTGTCTTTGAGGTTACGTGGTCGTCGGTAAACGACGCCTAGAGCGGATGGGAATGCGCGTTTCAGACGTTCACTTTGTTCCAGAATGTTGTAATGTCGTTTAAGGATTTTGTTTACATTGGGGAAGTTTGTGCTGTAAGTCAAGCAGAGGTTTGTTCGTTGTGGGTCTTCTCGTGGTGGTCGCTTCATAAGTAAGTCTTCACGCTTTAGTTTTCTCGCTTTTTGAACAGCGTCATTAATTACATGTGGGGGGTATTTTTGTTGCTCGAGCATAAGTTTTAGCCTCTGTGAGCTCGTGTCAAAGTCAGCGTCTCTAGAGCAGATTCGCTTAAACCGGTGAGCCTGGCTGTATGGAATACTGTTTTTACAGTGGCGTGGGTGATCGCTTTGGTAATGAAGGTATTGTTGTCGATCCGTTGGTTTGCGATATAGGGTTGTAGAGAGCTTCTCTTCTTCTATCGTTATGGTAACATCAAGAAAATTTACGGTAACTTGCGAGTATGTGTGTGTGAAGTGTATGTTAGGGTGTACAGCATTGTAAGTGTCTATAAAGCTGAGAAGTTCGTCCTCCCTGTGGGTCCAAATAAGAAAGATGTCGTCTATGTA